TTTTTTTGTGTAGAACCTGGTAGTGGCCCTACACCTTACAGACAGATCCGTTGTTAACCTCGTTCCGGTACAGTATTGGTATTTTGCAACTAAAATTGCATTATCATAATTGCCTCAAAGGCAACAAAATTTCCTACTACATAACCCTATGRCCCCCAAATAGCCGTATACTCACAACCATACTCCTATTTTTGAGACCGTATGCTTATTTTTTACATTAAATTTCTACAGGCTATCATACTTCTTTTTCTTKCCTACCAACCATTCCATAGCTTTTTAGTTGCATTCTCAACTGTGGAATACTGCAGCAGAATGCAATAATACAACAGAAATTGGTCATATCTTGATTAGTAAGGGGAATGACCAAATGCAACTCAGTAACTCAGTATGGAGGTGCAAACTAGCACTTTATTTGGCCACTATTTCCTTCAAAAAAAGGACACAGAGGAGCTTCTGATACGGAGGCTCAGCGATACGGAGATGCTGATACAGAGGCTCAGTGATACGGATCATGCTGATCTGGAGGCTTGCTTGTTGAGCTCGCTCATTGATACAGAGGCTCACTGATACAGAGGATGCTGATACAGAGTGATATGGTGTCCGCTGATRAGGAGGATKCTGATACAGATGCTCACTGATATGACAGTGTCTGCTGATATGGAGGATAATGCAGATACAGAGGCTTGCTGATACAGAGGACGCTGATACGGAGGCTCCTCGCTCACTGATACAGAGGATGCTGATATGGAGGCTTGCTCACTGATACAGAGGATGCTGATAGTACTATGGAGGCTCCTCACTCGCTGATATGGAGGAGCCACTGATACAGAGGAGCTGCTGATACGAAACACTGATACGAGTCACTGATACGAGCTGGTAACAATATGGAGGATGCTGATACAGATGAGCCGGTGATACGAGCTGGTGATACAGAGGATGCTGATAAGGAGGAGCCGGTGATATGAGCTGCTGATATAAGCTGCTGATATGGAGGTCACTGATACGGAGGACACTGATACAAGCCACTGATACGGAGGACGCTGATATGGAGGATGCTGATATGGAGGACGCTGATACGGAGGAGGCTCCCTGCTGATACGGAGGATGCTGATATGGAGGATGCTGATACGAGTTGCTGATACGAGTTGCTGATACAAGTTGCTGATACGAGTTGCTGATACAAGTTGCTGATACGAGTTGCTGATACAAGTTGCTGATACAGGTTGCTGATACAGAGGCTCACTGAAATGGAGGATGCTCCTGATATGAGCTGGTGATACAGAGGATGATGGTGATACGGATGCTCGCTGCTGATACGGAGGAGGTGCTGATATGGAGGAGGCTCACTGATACAGAGGCTCACTGATACAGAGATGCTGATACGGAGATGCTGACACAGAGATGCTGATATGGAGGCTTCCGCTGATATGGCATCTGCTGATACAAGCTGGTGATACGGAGGATGCTGATACATAGGCTCACTGATACAGAGCAGCCACTGCTAAGGAGGATCCTCGCTGATACGATGTCCCCTAACATGAGCTGGTGATACAGAGGATGCTGATACAGAGGACGCTCACTGATACCGAGGATGCTAGCTGATATGGAGGACGCTCCTCACTGATACAGAGCAGCCACTGAAACGGAGGAGCCGCTGGTGATACGGAGGAGCCACTGCTGATAGTAGTATGAGTTGCTGTGGTAGCTGCTAACTACTTGTCATCCCCCTCTAAGATCTTAGAATAATGTCATTAATATGTTTCTGTTACTAGTATTGTCAAGAATTACCTCCATCATTTGTCTGTTCATTATGGAAATTGCCTTATGCTCAATGATGCAAGTAATTCTGCTCAACCGACTTCGCGGATTTTTGCTCTACACGCATGGTTTGCTGGCAGTAGGAAACATTACGATRTGTAGGAGGTACGTAGACTTGTACATGATTCTCTACTGTTGCATTTTTTGTTGCATTTCGTCTTAATACCTGCACAGTACCCTGGTACGTACCGTACCGTACTACTGTACGATACTCTTATTTTTGTTTYGTTCAACTGGTGACGTCTTGCGTCGTCGGTCAAATTGTTCAATTTTTCCCGTCCAGTTATTGGTGACTCGGATGAGTACAGTACGTACCAGGTACTAGAACTCGATACGACGGTGTTGTACGGTAAGGTTTTTCGACTTTTTGAAGTGAACCGACATGAAATGTTGTGGGTATGAATGAACCCGTTTTTCAAGTTTGTAGAGTATCATTGACTTGCGCCGCAAGTTAGTCGACACTATCAAAATTGGTGCAGAKGCAAATCGCAACTGTCACTTRTAAATCTATGATTCCAGAGTTGCCGTACAGAATTGACGATTCCGAAAAATGAGTAACGAAACAACCGAAACAACGGTCCAAGATGAAAAGGGAGCAATAGAACAGAAAGGAGCTGTCGAAGAGACTTCTGGCTCTGTTGCTGTCGTTGATGGTGCCGGCGGCAAAAAGAGAAAGAGCAGCAACTCTCGCATTGCTCCTATTACAAGCGAAGGAGATATGCCCCAAAAGAAATATTACCGCCAACGGGCTCACTGTAACCCACTTTCCCACAACGACAATTTCCAGTACCCCCTTCGACCTGACAAAATGGATTGGACAGAAGAACATTATCCAGGTTGGGAAAAATACAAGCCGTCCGGTACAACGGCAGATGCGGTCGTTCCAACTGTGTTGGATATTGGATGTGGGTTTGGAGGTTTAACTGTTGCTCTGGCTACGATCCTACCGAACGAAACTATTTTAGGCATGGAAATTCGAGCCAAAGTGACCGAGTTTGTTCGGCTTCGGCTTCTGGCATTGCGCAAGGAAGTTCCTGGATCGTATGAGAACGCGAGTGTCATGAGGACGAATTCAATGAAATTCCTCCCCAACTACTTTCGAAAGGGTTGTCTCAACAAGCTATTTTTTTGCTTCCCTGATCCTCATTTCAAACGCAAGAATCATCCAAGGCGAATTGTCTCGGAACGCTTATTATCCGAATACGCCTACTTCTTGGCGCCTGGTGGAAAACTCTACTGTATCACAGATGTGAAGGAACTACATGAGTGGCATGTGGCTAAATGCGATGCTCATCCTCTCTTCGAACGGATCGAGGACGAAAAAGTGCTCGCCGCCGATCCTTGTGTCAACGCGATGGTTACTGAAACCGAAGAAGGAAAGAAAGTAGCACGAAACAAGGGAGACAAGTACTACGCTGTCTACAAGTATCGAGACGATCTGGTACAGAACGGGGAGAGAGAATGGCAAATGGAAAGTTTTTTCGATACCTTCCCCGAGGAATCGAAAGAGTAAGAATGCATCAGAGAAGGAAGAAAAAGGATGTATTYYAAATTAGTTTTCTGACACCGTGAACACACGATTACCAATCCAACATTGTTTCCTATGAGATATAAACATGTAAATGATACATCTAATCGTTAGATTGTACAAGTACTTGCASCAATTCGTTCAATTGTCGCATTCCGTTTCGGTCGACCGTTGAAATGGTCACGAGATGAATGAGTGCGGTATTCATTTTGGCCYACGGAGGATGCCTTCGCCAATTCATAAGTTTCAAGTCATGTTYGGCATGCTTTAAACCAATATTCCTCCAAGSTCTATTAACYCKAATCTCTTCTTTTCAGGGCGTGCCTTTCCACGACGAACCTTTTGGTTTTTTAGTCGCGAGTTGTCCGCACGCCGATGTCTTCTCGTCTCCYCTCGTAGCTCGTACATGAGTATACACACCGTTTCTCTGCAAATGGTTTTGGAAGGCTCTGACATCGTCCATCGAAGGCTTTTCATATAGRGACTGCCCGATATCGTTGAATGGGATCAAATTGACGTGTGGTTTCACACCTGGCACCTGGTCGAGAATGCCCTGCACGAAATCGACGATGTCGTCGGCATGTTCGATTCGGTCGTTGACCTCACGCATCAGGGCCACTTCCAACATGACAATCCGTCCATTCTCTGGTCTCGTCAAGAGTGCATCGATCAGTCCCTGTCGCAATTCCACCATGCTATATTTTGTTGTGGGAACTAGCTTCTTTCGCAAGTCGTCTCGTACGGCATGGACGCTCCACGCCATGACACAGGGAGCTTGAGCTAATTCCATGAAGCATTCCGGTGTGGGCGCTACGGTAGAAATAGTCACTTTACTGGATGCCAACCTGAAGAAAGGTCTTGTGGTTAGCGCTTTTGCTGCTCGAACTACGTTGGGCAAGTTATCAGAAGGTTCTCCCATACCCATAAACACAACGTGGGAGATGGCAGGCAAGTCTTCCAGCCGACACAACTTTTTGGCAAAAAACATTTGTGCCAAAATCTCATCAGCAGTTAGGTTCCGTAGTTTCCCCATCTTTCCTGTCGCACAAAACGTGCAACCTTTAAAGAGTACAAGATCGAAAACAAATTCGTCAAAAATAGTAAGCTTTTGTGCATGGAACTCATACCGAATCGATTCGACAGATKYATCGTCGATAATTTAAAAATAGTAGGCTGGATGGTAATTAGCTCATTCACTGTTACGTATCGTACCTTGGCGACATCCMACTTGCGAACTAATGCACAGCGTCGATCGTTTTCCTTTAAATGGTATTATAACAGTCTCTACTTCCAGACCGTCGCTCATTTTTAGAAGCAGCTTTGTTGTTCCATCTCCGGAGCGCGATACAAACGACAAGGTCGCTACGCCACCTTCAATCTTCGTCACACTCGGATTGGATTGTCCACCATAGGATTGTTGATATAGCGTTTCTAATGTGTTCAATGCGGCCACTCCCAATCGTTGGGTCCTTCGTTGCGATGGTAATTGATTGACGATTGATTCGTAATCATCTTGTCCCAAATTGATCACGCTTCCAAACATAAGAGCGGGATCGATGCCTAGTTTGTAACAATCCCAAACTATTTTCGCCCGACCTGCACCTCCTAAGGCAACTGAAAGTTCTTCAAAGGACATTGATATAGGGCCATATTGCTGTTCTATTGTCGACGGCGAAGGCGACGACGATGTCGATTGTGATATCTCGATAATCTTCGAGGTTGTTATTTGGATTGGCGTGTCACCACTGCTTCTGCCATTACTTTCATCATCGTCAGATCCTCTTTTCATCGGTGTTTCGGGAGCGAGCGTGCTGGCTAGACTGGTGACCGGGAGTAYCCTATTCGATATTGGCGTGAACCCATCAGCTTGCGGKTGTATCGATAAGAATAGGCATGCTAAGCTCGTATACTTCATGATCATGTGCAATTTTGTTCGACGTTTTTGTAGTTGTTGAAAGCGAGTGACTGAGCTCTAGAYGGGTTTAATGGAYATCRAAATGTGACAGCTTCAATCGCGATTATTGCTTTGATGCTCGAGTAAAAGTAGAAATTTTTGTTGGGATTTCAGGTCTCGCCATTTCGAACCTATTGAAAAGGGTGCTCTCTTTGCTCTTCGATARAATCATGATTCCTCCKKTGCGGTAGTACTACGGTACGTACTTGAAGTTCTGACCTTCGTTTTACGAGATAAAAGTGGATGATGGATTGGTGGTGAACAAAAATGATGATGATGTAATAATTCTGTGAAAGCCTTAACAACGCGTCGCGATTGTTAAATTAAAAACAGAAAAGACGTGACGTCAAAAATACGTACGACTACGACTTGCAGAGTAAAGGACCGTAATGGGTACCGGTACCGAGTGAGCGCCGACGACTAGAATTATTTCTTGGTTTTGGATCTGCGTCCTGTTGTYGAATGAGTAGCTTTAGCACCGAAGAAGTGCTGTCAACCGTCATCATTCATTGATCACTGGAGGAACCACCATCGTCATTARCCATTATCACCATTGTGATTGTGTTTAACATCAAATTCAGATTCGGCTTTGCTCGACTGGGCTTGACTTGACTCTTGTACCGGACCTTTTGCAGGAAAGCGTCACTTGTGTCGGCTTTGATTCTTCTGTGAATGAGATCTTTGCTTGCGGCGACTTTGTTTCCGCTTTTTATTTGCTTAGATTTACCATTCTTGCGTGACTTGCATCRCCGATCTTCGAACGTCCATGCATTTTCGAATGCTGGAGCAGCAACCGGGAGTACCTGTCACAGCAGGAATATAATGGTTGAAAAACACGCACACGGTGATGCCCATTCGTCGTCGTCGGATCTTCTCGTTCCCCTTGGAGGATCTCTCGAAGAATGCGACGGTTCCGATGTTTCTTCCTCGAAGGAGTTCGATCACGATTCCAACCCCACCGTCTTTGGGAAAATACTAAGAGGCGAATTGATTCCTTCCCGTGTCTTCTTTGAATCGAATCGATTGCTGGTCTTTGAGGATATCAAACCAAGGGCACCCCTCCATGCTCTMGTGATTCCCAAGCAACACATACCGTCACTCGTCGATCTCGACATAACGGCATYCACTACTGCTTGCAACAACAGAAATGGCAACAGCAGCAACAACAATAACCACCCTGCCCCATCGGCGGCCGTGGCGCTTCTGGAAGAAATGAATGYCGCCGGGCAAGACCTCGTGCGGACTACTTACAAAGATGCCTACGAGCGCGGGGACTACATTCTCTGTTTTCACATTCCGCCCTTCACCTCCGTCGATCACCTGCACCTTCACGTGTTGGCGCCCGCCTCGTCGATGCATTGGATCTATCGGAACGGAAAATACAACGTCGGAAAAMCCAGCAACAGCGAAACGGGCGGYTTTTCTGTCCGGTGGTGCATTGGCATCGACGAGGTTCTGGCCCGGGTCAAGACCGGATTGGCGCCTACGCCCTATCGGAAGGGCGACAGTTTGTCCACGGCGTGTTTCGATGCTCTAGCTTCGCTAGGATCGATACTGTCGTCTTCCTTTTGGGGAGGGCAAGCATAGAATTACAACGCAGTGGAGTGCCGTGTGGGGCGACGAAGGGGGGGGGGGGGTGCGGATTATGTTTGGCACGGTAACCGCAACCGTCATCACGGCAGAGATAAAYCCGACGCTCTGTTTTAAACCGTCGTCAAATGAAATGTTCGGCGTTTACAGCTAGAATCGAAAAGTGATAGATCTAGGTCTATTGTTATAGTGTCTCTTTGGTTTAGTTGTTGAGACTCGTGCCAATGTTGTTGCTGTTAGCTAGCGAGCTACATTACTCGCATGCAGCGACAGCRATGGATTGTGGGGGACGGTGATTCCAAGCCAGCTCATCACGCACGAATAAATGTACTCCCGTATCTTGATGATCTCGAGCGCGTCRGTATCCTTGACGGCGTGCGTCCAGAAGTGGTGACTGGCACCGTCGACCATCTTGACCGGCAGCAAAAAGCTCGTCGAGTCGTTTTCCTCCAGCCCCAGTGCGGACCACGGATCGACGTTGCCGTTGACCGTGAGGATGCGGCTGGTGGCCCCCGACTCGAGGAAGGATTTTCCGCCRTAKGCATCGAGGGAGGACTGCACATTCTCGTACACCCTATCGCTCGAAATGTTAAAKAGGCGGGCACAGATCTCGAGATCCATGTCGACCTGGTGAAAGTGGGCCGCGTAGGGGCAGTCGTCGCCGCAGGTCTGGTAGAATCCGAAYTCGGTGCACGTTTGCCACAGCCACGAGCGATCCCCAAACGGTCTCACCTCCAAATCGGAGTAGTACTTGACCATCCCCTCGAAATCGACGTCGACACAATCGTCATTGTCACCACCGCCTGCGAGCCGTCTCGGCAACCTCATTCTCTGCATCATTTGTTGCCGTTTRTTGTGTTTGTATGTCTTTTCGTTTCCCCGGGTTCGCTCTGATCGTTGTTGTTGCGATACTTTGGCCAAGACTTCCAGTTCGATATTGCTTTTCCCCGTGCTGTTGTGTGCGGTTGCGTTCCTCATCTTTTCCGTTTCTTGGATCATGAACCGACACAATCCTGCAATGTTACAAAGCTCCCCCCCGGTGCAKKWCGGATCGTTGCCCTGGGATGGAATGACGACGAGCCCGTCTCCCAGGAGCAATTCCTGGTTTCGCCGCATTGAAAGAGCCTTGCCCGGATCACAGACYCCGAATTTCTTCGCCAGGACTACCGGGCCGGCCTCGGTGGCGTTCGTCTTGTTCCCGGGCTGGTGCAAAACCGCGACAGCCTGCTCGTGACCGGCCTGGACGATGCGGTGGCACTCTTCGCTTCCGCCGACTTTGTCGTATTTTAGGCCCCACCCCTGCTTGGCCTTGTATCCCGGGAAGTCCACTCTGAGCTGCAGCGGAGCCGACGAGCTCACGCTGGCAAAGACCAGGTGTGGGTATTTATACCGCGCGTACATCGACATCAGGCCGGGATAACTCCCCCCAAAGGTTACCCATGTGTTCGCGGAGGGATCGCCGTCCGTGCTYGTCTCTTTATTCATGGTGTRCACAAAATGGGCCAGGTCTTCCAGGGCCTGGTGGCTGCTCAGGAAGCGCAGGTTTTGGACCGTGAGCGGCGATGTTTTGTTCCCCGTTTTGGAGTCCACAAAAGCCGGGTAGGACTTGCCGTAGTAGCGGTGCTCAAGGGCGTACAAATGGACGCGGTGCGATTTGGTTTGGGCGATTCGTTTCGCCAGTTCCAGCATGTCTCCGCTGCAGTGCACCGAGTCGATCAGGACCGATTCGTCAAAGCCGGGCCCCTCGCCCCCCACGCACAGCAAGGAAATGATGGGCAATGTCTCTTGCGAACCACTTTGTTTGCTGCCGTGGCGGCTGTAGTCCACAAAATACCGTTGCTGGTAGGTCGCTTCGTTGGTCCTGTCGAAGTGATCCAGTTGCTGTGTGATGTACATTTCTTTGAYGTCCGGGTCATCGTCCCCTACCACGGAGATTGGAGACCCTTCTTTCGACCCGGAATCGCGCCGAAGGTAYGGTGCATGCTCCGTTTCCGATGCAGWACCGACCCCAAAGATGCACGATCCAACCAACAGGAACGAAAGGAAGAYCGGGATAGTGGTAGAACGAGATCTCGACAATAGAAACAGCATTATTGCCAAGCGTCGTTCGAACTGTTGCACTACGCTTTGATGATTGTTGTTCTTGTTCGATCTTCGGCTGATTGCGTGCACTTTTCCGCCTGTTGTTGTTCAATGTCTCTGTTGGTTGCAGAGGCCGTTGCTCGATGTTGTGGGATTTGCTGCCGCGTGCCCTTCAGTRTCATGCGATATCTTCCTGAATAGAAATAGAAAAGAACTGTCCGGATTTTCTAACGGATCGTGTCGTACGATCATTACTACGTACGRTACGTAAAGGCAAGTTCGTTTAACGCGAACCATTTCGTTACCAATCGAATTACCAATCGATACGTCAGTACGTACSAGTACGAGTACGTACTAGTAGTCCTTGTGCAGGATTTAATCTTGAGATCCATCAAACCCCTATGGCTTCGTCGACTCAACCGACTAAATTGATTCCTTTCCCGTTTCAGGGTGGCTATTGGTCATCTGTGAGTGAGCGAGCCGAACCACCGTCTCATGTGATTTGAATTTTTGCTTTTTATTTTTCTTGTATCTTGCAATACAAAAGAAAACCGTCACATTTCGAGCCGACACGAGTTAGAGGTGCACGAACTGGGATGTCGGAGTGAGCCTTCGCCGTTGCCTCGTCCCAAGCTGTCGACAGGAATCGTGTCATCGGAGCTTCCATWCTGCATTCTATGAACGCGACACAAGCCAAACCAAGCAAAACCTAYCTTTTTCACAATGCCGAACAGCGAAGTCGAAACCAATGATTCGAAAGATATAGCCCCCGAAGAGGAGGGCATCGAAACTCCYCAGGAATCCACCTCGACAGGTGGAGATTCGTCCTCGGGAGATGACGACGACACCAGCGAGGTCGAAGACAGCGATCTCGCGTTCAAAGTCCTCCCGGCGCTTCGGCGCAGCGAGTCGTTCATCCGCCGGAGAGTCGAGAAACGGCAATGYCAGGAGAACCTCGTGCAGAGAAAGAAAAACGGAGCCAGCAAACCAGCCAAGACGCARTCGGGCCCCGTCGATCTCGATGAGATCGACGACGAGGAAAAGGCGATCCGCCGACACAGCAACTACGGATCCTTCGGGATCTTGCCGTCGTCCCTGTCCGACGGAGGGATCTACCGCTCGTACCGGCGCGAACGACTGATCAAGGAAATTGATTCCGCGAATCAGCGGGGCCGGAAGGGCCATGAAGACATTTTAGAGACCCTGCGAAACGCCCGGACCCTCGTGTTCATCATCGATGCCAAGGTTGCCGTCACGAACGACGAGGTGGTCGACGGGATTCGAAAAGTGGTCGACCACGTGCGCCTGGATCCGGAGCACCAGGATCATCCCAACAACCAGAAATGCCTATTGTATCGGGACTTTGAGGGAAGGCTCTTCAATCTGGTCTTGCCGAGCGAATACTCCAGCATGGAAGGAGCCTGGAGGGGCAATCTAAAGTCCTTTTCGGTCGTTCAAGCGGCCGCGTTGTTCTCCTTCCTGACACGTTCCCTGTCGTGTGCCTTTGATTTGGAGACCACCGACAGTTTTCGCCAGGTTTCTCTGATAGTGATTCTAGGTCTCGTCTTCATTGGTGAGTATGTTRTGCTACCGTATRGGCTGCARGCATCTTTCTGTCTAAAAAAACACWGAAAAGACTTGTATCGTTTTTGYCTAAYACAAAAGTTTTCTTCTTGACAYTGCACATTCAATTAATTTTCAGAGGAGATCAGCCTGTCGTGGACCAACGTGGGTCTGTTGGTTCGGGGTTATCCCTCACTGTCAGCGTTTGCCCTAAGTTCGAACCTGGTTGGCTCGGACTGGCTCCGCAAACTATTAATTCTTGTATTCGTAGTTGCTTCTGCTTCTACGGATGCCACGTTTCAAAAAGTTTGTACCCTGGGGGGAATCCTATTGACGTGCTTAGTACTACTTGCGAATCTCGGTTCYCATTCATGGAAATATCTTCACTGGAAGCCCTTCCGGGGTCTTCGCTGGTTTGGGGCATTGGGTKYCCCGCTGGATTCTCTACTGGGATACCTGGCAGCCATTTTGGCGGGGCTGTGCTTTCCGTTCATGGGCCACAGCATCGTCGAAGCGGGAGGAACCGCTGCCATCGAATCTGTCATGCGCATTGCCGTTATCGTTGCCGCCTTGTTYATTCTGAGTGACTTCGACGCATTTCAAAGGCTCTTAGTAAAAGGGTGTGAGTACAATGCTAGCTATCTTCTGTGTTATTGCTGTGTTATTGTTTGAGCCCATTTGCCTTGTTTTCCAAAATAGAATGCTTACAACGTTTTATTTCATTTTGCTCTGTTGAATACAGCTGATGCTTGCAACCAAGACTACGTCTACTTTTTTGTTGGTGGGTGGTGGACACTTTCGTTGGTGGCGTCGCTGACCGTACTGTTTTGTAGAGAGGTCCGCAAGAGCAAGRAATTTGACCCTTTCAAACGTGACAATCAGTTTCCCAACGACGAGGAGCCCTTGTTGGAAGAGGAACACAGGTCCCCTATCGGATACAAGGTTCCGCATCTTCCTTTGTTCCCCATAAATCCAGACTACACGCACAAAGGGCTAGGATCCTGCTGTTCTTCCTACCAACTAGGTCTGGAATATGTGTTGAGTCTTCTCGTTGCTCTCGGGCTAGGAGGGTTCATCTGTTACCTTGGTGTGACAAAGCTGGACGACCAATTTTTGTCAGATCCGCTTTAAGTTATGTGTACCCGATTCTAAAATGACTAAAGGATATCGGAACTGAAATCTAGAATAGCAGTAAAGYAGTATTTTGCAATTGATTCTTGACTACAGTTCCTAGTATGGTGCGGTAGGGTACAATGGGTCATTCCTGATAACAGCAAACAATAGTTTAATTTAGTAATTGTAATTACTAGTAATAACCATGGGAATAACCATTGGATTATTCCCAATTGTTGTCAAAAGAGGAGGAGGAGGATGCATATGAGCCCTCTTGCTTTCTCCTGTGCTTCTTTTTCGTGGGACAACCACCAGAAGGGAGGTAAGCACTGACAAGGGAATGAAGCATATMTTTGMTTTCTGTCCTGGTCTGGTGATGCTGTTCCCTGGACTGGTTAGCAAGGGCTTGTTGCTGTTCCCTGGACTGGTGGTTAGCAAGGAATTGTTGCTGTTCCATTTACATCCAGAACATGGAGTCAAAGTTTGTGTTGCTGCTATTGCTGCTTGATACGGAGGATCTTGAGTATGATTGTCTCTTTGCAGGAGGACGTGGGTGAGGAGGAGGAGTCAGAGGGATAGCTTTAGTAGTTGACAAGAATGCTTGAGTGGTTGAACCAATTGCTGCTTGAGTTGTTTGAGTCAACTGAGTTGCTTGAGTTGGAGCAGTAAGTTAAGCAAGCTACACCATCTAAGTTGACATCTGAGTGGACATCTCAAGCTGTGATGGTGTCTCAAGTTGAGTGAGCTGGTGAAGTGTTTCTTGAGTAAGTTGCAAAGGCTGTTGAAGTTGAGGAGGACTTATGTTGCTGTTGCTGTTTAAAGTGGCCTTATCCTCAGCACTAACCAGTATCTGAGTATTTGAGATACATAAAAGGAGCCAGCCGGTAAAAAAGACACAGATAAATGTTTATGGGAATTGTCCAATAGTCTATGCTTGTTATTCTGAAGAAAAAAGGAATAAAAGGTGTAGGACTTGAAAATGATTGTACAAATGTATGGCACCCACAGTACAGAACGTACTTTCCATTCATCATGATGCAGAAAAAGCTACGAAGAAATTCTCATACTTCTCCACTGTACAATATGCACTGTGTGATGTATGATGTACCATTGTTGTTCATTGCGGGGTACAATACTGTACAAACTACTACCTCCATCCCACAATACTAGTACTAGTACACTTTGCAGTACTCTATTTTTCCCTAAATAATTGTTGAGTATTTACTTAACAGGTTTTGGAGTTTTTGGCTGTTAGATTCTACAAATGACTGTGTATGACTGTATAGAATGTGCAARGTAAGTACTAGAGACTAGAAATGAGCATGTACATGAACAAAATTATTTTTTCATATGAAATTCAAAGAAAGTCTGTTAACATGGTAGTACCGGGAACCTCTTTTGAAGAACAATAATGACCAACACAACAAAGTTCTCTATACTGAAATGAAGTGCAGCCTCTAAAATGTGTCACTCTTAGCTATTATATGCAAGTAGCAGCATATCAAAATGACTGTTAGAACCCGGCCAACTGACGGTAAAATCACATTGATAGTATGCCAAAAAACAACAAGAAGGCTCTATTGCAGGCAGCAGTAAATACTACAAGTACGTCAGACACTTTCATTTAATTTGATCTCTATACTTGTATACATTTATAATAGATCTGTTAAACAAAAAAAGAAGCATTAAAATCGACCATATATTGAGCTTCTTATTTCAACTCAAGAGGTGCAAAGTGCTGTACTACCATTATTGTGGGATGGATGTAKTACGAACTACTGTACAAACCAGAACCTGGTACATACAGATCATATTATGTATATACCTATCCATCCGCCCAGGTACCAGGTACCAGTTGGAAGGCAAATGAGGTGGTGACAGGTCCGGAGTCAGTACAAATTGTACACGGCTCTACKGAGAGAACAATACACCTCATTTGCCTTCGCAACATGAACCTGTCTCACTTTGAAAAAAAACATTAAGTATTTTTATATCGAAATATTTAGTAGTACTAATTTGTACGTAGGTTTCTACACACCTTGTTATACTGAGGGCTCTTAAGAAAAAACCACTTGGCCGATCATTCTGAGAATTCCGAATCCCCTTCTTCGTATTATAATGAAGTTATTCCAGTACATGTGTGGAGTGGAAGAGTCCCCAATTGCTCTGTCTGGAGGGCGTGACAGCCCTCATGCTGTTTTTTTTTTTTACTAGAAAAACTGCGCGGTTTTATTGTACTCATAACCTATTACGCATTTTGTCCACACATTTGCGTTCATACTGGTACCGCATACCGCATGGCGTTTGGCTCGCCCAGAGCATCGTGCATCATACAACTTATCGTACGCCCTACGAAACATGTTAATCGTGATTCCTGCTCGGGCGAGGGTACGTAGCACAGTAAGTGACAAGTGGTCCGTACACATTTACGCACCGTCCTTCGTACGTGTTGCTGGGCATTTTGCAGTGTGATCACCTSACGGTTAATACTTGTACGAAGAAGTACGTACGAAACTTACTGTATTCTACGTTCTYATCCAAGTCGTACGCTGGGTAATACGTACGTACAGTACGTACCAGAATTTGACCGTATCAGGTATCAGGTGTCAGAAAAACAATTCTGGGGGAAAACTTTCTCAACAATCACTTTTTCCTTACACTTTTCAAAACTAGATCCAAAACAACTTGCTGTTCACCCTACCGAAATCAGTCAACAGACACCATTGCGAACGATATGACCATGTCAAACCCCACCGATTGCGACGATAGTAGCAGAAATATTGCTTTCTACTCGGAGATGCTCGAACGGTTGAGAACGGAGCAATTCAACCTGGATACCAACAAAGCCCTCGCCTCCCATCCCTACCTAATCGCAGCCAAGGAAGGAAAGCTGACACTGGCTCAACGCCGGGCGTTTGCTGGAGAGCAATATTCTATTCAGTATTCCGATGCTTGTAGCTTTGCACTGTTGGCCGGTCACGAAAACTTCCGACCGAAGTCCCTTTCTGTGGCGAGTGTCCCGCCGGCAAAGGACGACGAAACCGGCAGCGACACAGATTCCCTTCCGGATATTTTTCAGTTTTTGCTGGGAGGAGAAGTGTACGCATCTCGGCTCCTCCTTGATCACTCCAAGTCGCTGGGATTTGAGAATGCGGAAGAGAGCTTGAAAGAATATACGGTGACGGCCGGAGGACAGGCATATCCTTCGTACTGGGCCCGCATCGCACTTGCCGGCAATCGGGGAGCGGGGGCTGCTGCCTGTGCCGTCAACTTTCCTGCCTGGGGGGCAATGTGCGCCGAGTTGCACGAGTCATTGCGATGCCGACCCGAGTACGGCTATGGAAAAATGAGCGATGAGGAGGCGTCTTCGGCCCTTGCATTCATTAATTTTTTTGGTACCCCCATCGAGAAACTAGACGACATGGCAGCCACGGTAATGATGAAGGAGAACGTTTCGTACGAAGATATCGTCAACGAAGTACGATTGCTGCAAGGTTATGAGCTGATGTTCTGGGATGCAGTTTATGATGCAAAATAAGGCCATGTGACAAAATAAAGATAATATAACTGGAATATCACAGATTTTCGATGCTACTGCTTGGATGTCATTTACAAAACAATTTATACTCAATAGATATCGTAAACGAGATSATTAGGACTGCACATTCTTTGGAGCTGAGGCATATGTCCTTTTTACGCTGTCCATTGCTTGTTGTGGGGATAAGAAGCCACACCCTACCATCACATTTCTTGTTGCGCCAAGGGAGGGTAGTCCACAGTTCCTACTAGCCATCCAAGAATCAAAAGATTTTAGGTTTGCAGTTTGGAACCTTCCCAAAACCTCGGAAATTCGTTCCTTCAAATTCACTAGACGATCGTTGTTGGTGCGAAGCTGGGACTGGACCAACACGAGGCGTAGATACGCACCTAACAACTCCAATAGTCCCATCTTTAGACCGCATTGAAAAAGAACTTCGTTAGGAACCGCCGAAATTACATCCAGAATAGATGACCAAATATGCTCCGTATAATTGTACCCCCAATGCTTAACAAAAAGTTTCAGCTCTTTACCATTGAAGGCGCCAATTAGCGGCTCGTTCAAACCTTGACCTCTAACTAAACCTGCTTTATCATCGGCGCCCGCGGTACCCATATCAGACGCATCTTTTTCGAGAATATTTTCCATCATCTCCAGTTTGCGCAGTAATAACAGAGGATGTTTTTTCGCAACATCAAACAAAGACTGTACCGAACGCAGCGAAGAAGTATTTGAGAATGCGGTACCAATCATTTCCCGGACGGAATCATCTAGAGGKGATCTCCATRATAGCCAGTCTTCTGCACTCAATTCTACCGCTTTCATTAGGTTCGATCGTAATGCTGCTGTACTAAGATTCATTGAAAAAGGAAGGTATGCGTAGATCCTGAGAAGAGAAAGAAGTAGGAGGCGTTCATTTTGCTCGTCGTCGTTCTGTAGTCTTTCCATTATTGCTCCAGTAACAAATTGAACCTGGTTTCGACCCAACTTTGCAATCAAAAGGAGCAAAACCAAGCATTCCGGGGCGTCACTGCGGGAGCGCAATCTTGTTTCGTAATCAAAAGAGAGTAAACAATCGAGTGCAAGTCCAGTAGCACTTCGAACAGCTTCTTCTGTTCTTCCCCACGTTTCGTATTCGGCTGTCAAAGTCAAATCCACAAAACTGTCAACATTTATTGTGGGGAACCTTGAAGCTAAGATCAAAAATCTTACCGTCTTGACAAGATCAAGCTCCTCCTTTCTRCCATTCGACAGGATCCACTGCCGACACCGAGTCATATGCTCACGATCCCATACTTGAAAGCACCTTGATATTAAATTATCCCATAAAAACGCTGGCTTTTGACCACGAGCGAACAGAATTCTCCAAAATTTAGGTGAACCCCGTAAAGATGAAAGCTTTGGAATCCACTTTACGAGTGTGGAAGAAATACTTTCAACCTTGCGCTCCAGCCGAGTGTAGCATTTTAAAAGCAAAAACGCAAGCTCCTCGTTACCAAGCCTTGGTCTCTTTTCCTCTGTATTTCTCCGTTTTTTCTTGAGTGGAAATGGTTCGTGGGAAAAGTTTTTGAGTAGCCAGTTATCGAGTAAATCTGATTTGTTTTCTTTAAAAGTCTCGACCAGAAAATTTTCAACAGCGTCATCAAGCGTGATTGGGAGGGAAACAGTCGTTTCATCCTGAAACAAAAGAAAATTGGWCATATCAGACGTATCGGCATGCATTTCCTCCGCACTTGACACATCCGTATTACCTAGCATATCCATTGACATGGAATCGAATAGCATTTTTGCATTCTCGATACATTCATATATTTTAGGTGGTGGTATCTTTGGTTTTTTAGCTTTCAATTTCGTCGGTTTCCGCGAAGATCTGCACGAGTTCGATAGCCATTCAACAAATACAAAAGATACTTCTTCTTTGCCATTTAGCTCTGATAACCTATACAACCTCGAATATGCACAAACTCTCCCTAAGAGTTTTCTTGAAATCTCACGTCGATGACCTAGGCGTCCGAGATCCCACTCACTCGAAGCAGACGGGACCAATAGTTGGGTGAATGTCTTGTGAATATCATCTGCCTTTTYTCCGAGTTTTCCGAGTCGGTTGATCATAGTCACCAGAGATGCTCGAGGTAGTCCAGAGCAGAGAAGTAATCTTGGAAGAACATTAGTTGGTGCAGCTAATGCCGCACGTTTCGCAATAAAGTCGCTTCGGGACTTCGCAAGCATCACCCATGATTCAACTGCTATTGCAGTCTTCTGCGTCACAAGTATCTTAGCACTTGCAAGCCCGTCGACATTTTCCGTTCCTTGCTTTTCAGTTATATCAGCTTCTCCATGGTACTCTCGAGAATTCATGAGCATTATAACAAGGCCCTCAATGGCAGTGCTATCCCTACCGCGGGCATCATCTTCTGACCAGATACTCAATAAAACGCAAGACGACTGCAACAATGCAAGTGGCATCTCAACTTTGATTGATGATCCATTTTTGTCACTTCGGCAAAGGGAGATATGAACCATATTATTTTTATTTGACAGGTTCGAAATCTTGCCATCTACATAGGCTCTGAACTCTTCGCCAACAACCTCAATTGCGAGTGAACGAAGGTCCGTATATGAGCTTAAGGCATTAGCAAAAACTGTTGGGCGCTTCGAAACAAGTTCAATAAAAAGTGAGGCAAAATCCCAATCCCCTTCAACACCATAATTTTTCGCAAATCTTGTCAATTTGTTCAATGCAAGAACCAAGTATCGCAAATTACCACCGCGTTCAAACGAAGCTGCTATCGCCAATCTTTGAATTGCATCAGATACAATCGACTTTGAATGCTTGACGTGCATAAGATTGATCGCCCAAGCATGATTTGACCCATCGAACGTAGTGTCTATTTCTCCAAGATTTTCTTTGCCAATAGCATTCGTTAGCACACGCCTAGCACATCGACGGCGATCTGGATCATGATTAGCAATATCTGTCAAAAGAAGATCGAAAGTTCGGACGGCATCAGTTTCCCCAAAATYCCCTATCAGAGAGTCTCGAACATGTTGTAACAGAGGTGCCGATAATTCATGAAGACCTGTTCGTTCGTCTCCATTCGTACCATAAGCACGGATCAAAAGGAAGCAAGATGCACTAGCTGGGAGTCGAGACACCGTTTCTGGAAGAAATGAAATGATTGGTATTAACCAGTCGTGGGCACGTTCGATTGCTCCTCTCGTAGTGGACCCAATGGTAGTGAGTAAGAAATCTGGTTCAGTACTACTTTGGAATACTCGTTTCAGATCGAAAAGCTCCCCTATCGAAAAAATCAAATCAATTGACTCCTTTGGAGGCTTCCTTGGGCCTTTGTAGGGATCCCAGATTGTTATTGACTTTTGAGCAGTCTTCAGCAGTTTTTTCCTTCGACTTGCTTCAGCCTGAGCTTCAGCTTCTTCTTTCTGACGCTGTCGATTTATCTCCTGTTCACGTTTTGCCTGCTGCCTTTTGGAACTTCTTTGCCCCGAACTTTGGGTCCCACTATCAATTTTGTGAACATTGTATTTCGCCTTCTTCTTTACTTTGTTAGGAGGGGCAAACAGATATTCAGCCAATTTGCCTTCTTCGTCCCTCATCGCCTGCTCGATTCTTTTCTGCTCTTTTCGTGCTGCATCATCACTATCAACAGTTGGAAATCTGTACCGATCAGACGTGATCATTTTTATCAAAGCTTTTAGGGTTGGAAAGTTTTTCAGTACATTGTCTCCAATAGCACTGGGGGACGCTCCACACAAAATCAAAGCAAGTCCAGTAACTCGCCACCACATTCCGGGATAACCGAGGCGGGGAACAAATACGTCTTGATTATTCTCTTTTCCGTCTGGCATTTCTTTGCAACCTCCATTCAATTGGTGTGAAATATCCTGTTTGCTTTTTACAGAAGGGATGTATTCAGCTAGCTCGTAAAGTTTCAATATCAAAGTTGGATCATGAACCAGAAGAGAGGATTTCATACCTTTTTTACAACGTTCAAACATGTGTTCCAACAATAATAATGCAATATCTTTGCTTAACACCCCCTCAATTTCGTTTGAAGCAACCTGTACAACAGTCCAAAGCATTTCATCATCAACATCTGCGCCATTGTCACAACAGAAGTTAATCCTTTTTGCCTCATCTTCCCATCCCTGAACATCTTCAAAGGGGGCATGGCCCATGAAAAGAAAGTTTCCAAGAATTGGGGAGTCTGATTTCTCTAGGAAGAGCACGGAACGCATAACTTTCACCCACGGCGAGAAGCTTCTATCCCCGTCTCCATCCAAAATAGAGCTATAAATTGGCGTCCCTGCACCTGTGATCTCGTCTTTTTTCTTTTCTGTTCTTGCCTTGGTGGTATTTTTTTGCTCCGATTCTAATGAGTAGAAAGGTGCGTAATCTACACAGCACCAACGAATCAAGAGCTTTCGAGCTTCTATTAACTTAGCCTTGACCTTCGCCACGCTTTCTTCCGACGGATTCACAATTCTGACAGATTTCCCAGTAGGTTGAATCCGTTGAGTCATCGCTCCGGGATCAACAAGCAAAGTGACGCATTGAAACATGAGACGCGCTTTGTTTTCTTCATCTATGATGCTCCAGGCATATTTTGGATCGGCTTTTAATGACAACATAGCATTCAAGACTATACATCCATCAAAGGATGATCCAAATTTGCTTGCAATAGCTCGAATCAATTCTTGTATTCTTCGAATGTAATTTGGTGTAGCAAGATCGTTAAATGGGTCAGGTCTATTCAGAAGCAGTTCAAATAAGGTAGAGGCGATACCAATTGCAGACAGTTCCCGCGGAAGAACATCATGGACGGCATGAATCATACTCAGATGGTCTGAAAGTGTCGAATCATGAGAGTCCATATTCACTAATATTTCTCGTAGAATATGCCGATAAATATGCTTGGTGATAGTCACCGTAGGAATCCTAGTTGCAACGGCTGTGACGTTTTCTATGTGAGCATTCAATTGGTTCGCTTTGAGTCTCATACGGAGTATGTTATCCAATGCAGAGAGATCTTCTCGCAACGGGGGATCGGTATTCTTCATGCTGTTCACAGTTTTCGAAAACAGCGCCCTTGCAAGGCCCGACAAAGCTGGCGACTGCAGCCATTTTTCGAGATTTCCTGTTATTATGATCCGAACCGATGGTATCGACGTAAAAGAAGTTAGGCACTGCAAAAGACCCGAGTTTTGCTTGGACTTCATATCTAAACGCTGACTGAGCTTATCGGACACGGCGACGAATGCCGACTCCAAATTCTGTCCGAAATATCGGCGTCTCACTTGAGAATAAATCAGATTCTTTTGCTGAACTGGATATGTAGGTTTGGCTAGTACGGTTGCAATTGGATTGTCTTCGTCTTCTCCAGAAGATGACGARGAACCACCGCCGTCATTCGGGTACTTGCTATATGATGTTGTGATCGCGACTTCTTCTTCATCCCCCGAATCAGATTCATACAAAATGTCACTCTTGACTTTGGTCTTTAATTTTTGTTGGGGACTGAAAGAAGTCTTCTTAGAATTCTGAGATCCGACAGATTCAGAACGTTGTCTCTTCAATGTGAATGCCCGTTTTTCGTGTACTGCGGACATCGATGACGAACGTTTCATGTTTGCTTCCGTGGACATGATTGTTGTATTCTGGTAACGACGACTATGGTTTTTGCGAAAGAACTCTGCTACTTTGGATGCGTCCGCCAGCAACACGTCCAAATCGCCACAATTGCCACCGCCGTGATCCCCATTGTCATCGTCTCTGTGTATCAAAGACAAATTATCCACCAAAAGTCGATAGGCTGGATCGTCTACCCAAGATCGTGGCCCGAAGCAGTCTTCAGCATACGCTTCAATCATAGGCGCTGGCCAATGGTCAATAGACTCCATGGCAACATACAGTATTGTACCTGCTAACATTTTAATGTCCATTTGGGGCTTTGTAATGTTTCCCATTACGGTTCGTTTTCCAACCATCGGAGATTGCCCGTGTGCCAATTTCATGCTCTTGCTCATCACCTCTGTACTAATGCTTGTATTTTTTTCCCATGAAAGTCCTCGTTTGCGAGCCCCGGGAGTGTACATCAAATTCAATTGCGACGCTGTTCCTACCGAAGACGACGCGACGGATGATGCTTCAAACCCATCTGTCGAATTGGATTTCATACACGATATCAGGGAACGCAGAAATGGTTGATTCAGCAAAAYTGCAGTCATTGCAGGGATCTCCCAAGGTTTTGGAAACTGAACTTCATCGTCATTGTTCTCTTTTTGTTGCCTGCGTACATTGTGCCAATTATCGGTCGGTTATTCGAGACGAACGAGCACGGTTACCGACAAATAGTCAGATCAAATTGTGAGCAAAACAAAAGAAATTTTGTGTGAAATTCCAACATTTTGGGGATCGAACGCGCATCACGCACGTACCGACGGGAAAAAATGGTTTTTTGATCAAGCCGGAGGTGGTAGAGGACCCCAATAGCAGCAAGATAGAGCGCTCCAAGGCTCTCGATCGACTTCGACTTTTCATTGTATAACGCAACAAATTGTTCGATACAGTTGTTGAGATCCGGGGGCCGCTGATCGTCCTTTTTCATYCTCTGTTGCTCGGCCATCGTTCGACGCGTTTCCCACCGAGGGCAGTCAAGAGACTGCACACACATCACTCGTAGGAAGTTCAGTAGGATTTGGTTCAGTGTCAACGTCTTTCCCGTCGATTCGTATTCGCTCCCCTTCGATCGAGATTCGCGCGAGGTGCTACACGTTGCCTTGGTCGCACCGATGAGAAGCTGTTTCAGGCATCTATCTCAAAAAAAAGAGAAACTGCGCGAATCAATCTGTTTTCTGCGCGTGCTATGCTTTGTATGTGCCGTTATTTTTAATARTTTATGACGCATGGTACTACCTCGTAATGTATCGTACCGTACGTACCTCTTAACCCTAAAATCCAAAATGGATTTATGTAAACTGCTTTACCTTATGACATTGCAATGACCCGCAAAGGAGCACAAATGGGCTAGACAACATCATGGAGTGAGCTAGTTTTTCCTAAAGATTTGAGAAAGTAAAGGAAAGCTGAAGAATGGTTATCACGGGGCCAAAGYYAGTCTGTATGTGCTTGTGACCTCTCTTCTTGTAGAACAATGCATCATGAACTTGAAAATGTGCGAGGATGATGATTCCTTTTTGATCARAAGTGTTTATGGATGAGCAAACTRTTAAACTAAAAARTGAAAATCTTTCTTAGTTAGAAGTCAGCATTACTGGCATGTCTTTCTTTTCTAGTCGAAGTCGTCAGGCGCTTCCATTTCGTTTCTCTTCCTGGCAGCTTATTCGTGGTACAATTAGAGCTCTTTACCAAGTTTTTTCTTCGAAATTATCCTGTTGTAAAGAATTAAGAACGGAAAAATTCAGGCGAGTCCTTTTTTGATTCAGTACATCGAACACAGCTTTCACTAAATACTACCGATACCATCAAGCCTTATTCCTTCCCGGAGCCCGGCAGCTATCAGGACGTGCAACGCAGAAGTCAATTTTTTTTTGGGACATGCGAAGGCAACTACAAATCGTATTCGTGTCTAATACATCACCCGTCCAAGGAAAGTGGTCGTTTTGTCATATCTGAAAGAGAATACAGGGACGATTCCTCGTTGAGTTTGACATGTTTGTACCGAATATGGTTCCCGAAACGAGTGAACTTAAAACCAAAGAGTTGGTCTGTCATCTCGACATCTTCTCAGAGGCGAACTCGTTCGCACTCTTCTTCCTCGAGCATCATGTTTGGAATACCATCAGTGACGGGAAATTCTCTTCCGGTTGCAGGGCAGGTCAGCATCCCTTTCATCAGGTGAACATTCATCAGTATGTGATAGAGGGCCTGTAAAAAAGGTTCGGATTCTGCCAGGTCGGTCGTGAGCGTTGTAGGTAGCGTCGATATCCCCATTTCCGAAGCAGCCTGGACAAGGGCGGGCCATTCGAGAATCGGTAGCATCTTTTTGACGAAATTAATGTCTCTCACGCCCGAAGCGCCCGCGTCGGGATTGTCGATCACCTTGACCTCGGCTGCCGTGATCCTCAGCGGAAAGCCTTTACCTTTCGCCTCGGCTGTRTTGTTGCGCATGGTATTGTGGGTCAGAAGTCTCATGGTGTGGGTCTATGGTAATGATAGCAACGGCCGGGTATCTCCAATGTGTCTTCGACAAGAGAAAAGAGGGTACGTCTATTATTTTTCTTCGATTTTTTCTTTCCGAAAGAGTCGGTATGAAAGAAGAAATGCCGCGTGAACTGTAATGAAGAGAGCAGTTTTTGGTGGTTGAAATCAAGATGTTCTTCCTTCGTCCGTTTCTACCAAATCATTTTTCGCAGAAATCTTTTGAACCAAAAACCCGAATAGTACTTGGTACGTATTACCCGTACGTACTGTACTGTAGTTTAAAGTATGAATACAGTAATACAGTAATACAGTACCGTACCGTACGTACGCTACACGAAACTATTTCGTTAAAAAAATGACGACGGGGACATTCGCAAGCACGGTACGTACGGTACTTATGGTTTTTACTGAATGACCTGCCGATACGMTACGACTGGGTATGAGGTGATCAAGAGTTCCCGTACCGTAGCGTACAGTATCGTACGTTGTTTTTTCTCCAGGGGTCATGAATTTAGAACCCCTGCTTCTCCAGGCTCCTTTTCTCTCCCACCAAACGAATGCAGCTCACTTCTCAAATTACATCAACGAAAAGCATTTCCAACAACATGTTATCCAACCAAGTCATTTGCCTCATAGGTGCTAGTTCCGGAATCGGAGCCTCGATCGCCGAAGGACTCTTTCGCGCGGGCGCAAACGTCTGCATTGGGGCCCGTCGTCTAGGAAAACTCGAAGAGGTTGCCCAGATATGCAAGGAGAAATACCCCGAKTCTGGGGGAGATATCCTCGCGGTGGAATGCGATGTTACGTCCCGAGAGTCCGTTCAAAACCTGTGCGCCAAGGCCTGCGAAAAATATGCGTCTGCATCTGTCGACGCGATGATCTGCTGCTCCGGCGTAATGTATTTTACCCAGATGAAGAATGTCATGATGGATCAATGGGACCAGACCATCGATGTAAATTGCAGGGGTCCTACCAATTGCATGGGAGCCGTCATCCCCAAAATGGTGGAAGCGAAGAAAGGAAAAATTATCACCATCAGCAGTGACGCCGGTGTGCGTGATTTTAAAAACCTTGCCGTCTATTGTGCCAGCAAGAGATTCGTAGAAACCGTGACGGAAATAACGAGACGGGAATTGGTGGGCACCGGAGTCACACTACACACTATTCAGCCCGGAGACGTAAAAGGAACGGAGCTTATTTTGAAAAACACAGATAGCGAAGCCGCGGATGAAATGGGTGTTGCTATTGGAAAACCCGTCGGTGAAGGATTCACTCGAGAAAACCTGTTGGATCCGGAAGATGTCGCGAACGCCGTCATTACGATTCTGACGGCACCTCCCCATGTTGCAATAAACTCGATTTTGATCGAAGCTAGAGATCAGASCTAGTGAAACTTTCCAGGTTATAAGAAGTGGTCATCCTAGCTTYATCAAAGAAAATACTACAATTATAATTTTTTTACAGTAACTAGACCAGCTTTTCATGAGAACTATGAAGATGTCAAAATTTTCAGTAGCGAATGGATTTTTATCCACTACTACTAGTYATCATAGAGTTGGCACACAGATGCACGATCCAATTGTGGATTCTGGGCCATCTTTTCCCAGTGTAAAATATGTCAAGCGCGCCGATAGACATCAAAAAATCTTGTCCAACTACACCATTTTTTCTATGGAATTTATGTCTTGATGTCAATTGACATGTCAGAAATACATTCTTGATGAACATATTAACCTAAAACACCATCCAATGTTGCACCAATACTGCTCCTTCATGCTGTTGGTAGATGATATTGGTAGCAACAATACAACTCGTTGTCAATTGTTGGACACAAATGAGTCCTCACAACTGTGTGCTGAAGGTACAATTATCCCAGTGAAAGTGCCTCTTGCTCTGACAATCTACATCAAACCACCCCCTTCCACCAACACTGTCAGCATCACTCATAAACAACAGTATCTCTTCAGCCTTTGAGCTAGAATCAGATGTCAAAAATTTGTTTGAGGATGATGGAAACTCAAATGATGAGGAGATTGTTGGTGACACTGAACCTAATTATGATTCCAATGCTTCTGGGCGGGATGAGTCACAAGGAGGCTGACCAAGCTGAGTTCTTCAATGCACTCAGAGCCAAACAGCTTGGAATTGGGACAATGCAGTTTAGCCTCATGATACTGAGTTCTTTTATTGGAAGAATGGAACTATTGTTGATAGCARTCTTAACTATCCCAAGGTTCCAATAGGCTATGAAAGGAAGGATCCAAAGGTTGAGAAAGGAGAACCTGAAGACTGGAATGATATTGATAATCCAGGAGGGGGATGGCACCCTTATTACTACAGGCCCAAGTTCAAAGAAGCAGGTACAGGGAAATACAAAGGTCACTTTCTTCCTTCTGACTGCAAACCTGTGGAAATCCCTAAAAGCTTAGTACTAGGTCTTGGCAAAGAAGAACCTATTAAGGAGGAAAGGCTGGAAGTTTCATTATCTTGGGTGGGATGATACTGTTGAAGATCCTACAAACCAATTTGCAAGGAAGTTTGCTACTGGAGATAACATGTTTCTGGAGGAGAGGAAGGGGAACAAGCTGGATWTCTTCAAGCTTCAGCAACATGGACTGACAAAAGACCGCATTGAAAATGGAGATGGTTTCTTTTTCTATCAATTGCTGCTACCAATTGCTCCTGATTCAAGGGAGGMCCAGAGGTATCAAATTGAACCAGAGAAGAAGCATTCTTTTAACAACRAAAAGGTCATGTGGTATACTAATGTGTACATCTCTGATGTCAATGAAGGGGGAGGACACCAAGTGAAACCTGTTACATTACCTGAAGCAGTACAGTTTGATGGCATCCTTTTTATGCATGGTGCTTGTGAAGGAACGAGTGAAAACATCAAGTATAGATGGGCCTGTCCTTTCAATGAGGAGATYGCAAACACCATGACTTGCAGCAGGTGGTAAATGATCAAAAGGAACTTGAAGCTTTGCAAGAATGATGCTGAAAGGCCTTTTTGTGGAGACCCCAACAATAGCAATGTGGCTTACAAGTTTGATTTCATCTACCAGACTACCCTGAACAACACAAACTATTTCACTGAAACGGCTGGCTTAGACCTATGTATTGACAAGACCAGTTGGCTGTATCAAGGATTCGGCAGTCTTCTTGTTAAATATCTGAAAGGAAAGACTGTTCTCATGTCTGGTGTTGATCAAATCTGGCACCGCAGATTTGTGGATRGGCAACAACTGATGATAGGCATACTACCTGCACTGGCCCTGCTGAAGTTCACAACCTTGTTGACACCTTTGTTCTTTGTAGCATAGGAACTTGGAAGATTTGRAAATCACCTCCTCATATCACTGCTGACTTGAGTAACATGGGCTCCTTGCCCAACAAAAACAGACTGGAGAACTCCACCTTGGTGGTKGTCTGAGATACACTGTCTCCAGTCACMACCCACAGTCCACTGATTAAAGTGATAGTGCAATAACAAGGTTTCMATAAAAAAWKCTACTAGGACAACCAGGAAAAAAGCTTATGGTTTTCAAAAACAAATTTTTTGGCAGGACTGGTTTACAGACAGTTCAATGGAGGAATAGGAGGGGCAACAACAATGTGTGTTTGACAGCAGGYGAGAAACTGATATTTGAAACAGGTGACCGTTACAGACAGACATTGGAAAAAGTGGGAGTGATCTACAAATCAATGTATCCAGGGGACCAACTAATCTACACCAAGATCAAGTTGGTTTATTGCTCTGTATTTTTCTTTTTGGCCTTCTTTTTTCTTTTGGATTTTGTTTTTTGATTCTTCTCTTTTATGACTACTTCATTCTTAGCACCTGCTGTGTCCTTTATGTCCACTATGTGGAAGCTTGCCTCCTTCATTGGCTTGGCAGTGTGATTGTGACTTGTTTCCTTGTTCACTGCATTGGTACTTGCTTTATGGCTTGGCAGTGCACTTGAAGATGATTATATGATGGCTCTCATCTGTTCAACTGGTGTGAATCAGCACAAACTTCTTCTCTATTGTATAGGCTCAGCCAACTGATTCTGGATGCACCAATTGTACATTTTAAATTCCATAATCATACATGTATATCAATATGYTCCACTACTAGGACCCCCCAAATCCCCCATATGACAAGAATCCTCTTTTTACTAGGATTTGATTCATGTGCCTCCTATCATATGTAAGTATTTGTTGGGGACCAAGTTATTGCGGATTGCGGATAGAGTGAGTTGACACTTACTGAATGTTCTACATGTTTTTTKGGGCTACTATCTTTTTATCATATAAAGACTACTTTGACTAAATGTTTTGCATGTGTTTCACTTGCATACTTGGTTGCACACTGGCGGGATTAATAAAGTTAGCACATGCAAATGTAATTGCACTAGTACTATGTATTAGGAGTTTTTTAGTCAAACTAGTCATTAGACACAAAAATAAGGGCCCAAAATGTACTACAACTATTGTACATTTGGTAGCCACGTCTATAGGATACCCTGAGTCCAGCAACAACCTACCTTCATTGGCTTGTCCATATTTTTATAATCTAACAACCAGCAATAGTAGTAGTKGTTGTACTACTAACTATTACTAGTATTACTAGTACCACTAATAGTAGTAAGAACTTCAAAAACACCAAATGAAAAATAGCCCTGTTTTAAGAAGGGTTATTCTAATGATTTTACTACTAATACTAGGAAAGCACATAAAAATACTTCTGGACAACATCTTGATGACAAAAAAGAACCTTTCAAATCAACCAAAAATTGAGTGTCTTTCAGTAGTAACAGGCTTCTTACTGGATGGTCAATTTTGGAAGGAGGAAGTATGCTGACCGTCTGTTGACTCCAATTTTGCTGTCCCTGTTTGAAAATCTGTTTATTTACTTAACACTTTTCAATATTTTCATTTAACCCCCAAGAAAACATGACTATGTACAACATATAATCAGTACTGTATAAAAAAGTATCATGCAGGTGATTAAAATTTATTTTTCACACATGAAAATTACACATTTCTCCAACAACAAGGGTGCTTGCAACTACACAGTACTACTACTGGTAGCTAAAACAGCTAGTACCCACTAGTAGGTGTAATTCCATTGGGGAGGTTTTTGATTAAATATTTTTTTTTGCATCATGCGCAATTCAGTTTTTTTATTCTCTGATACCAGCACTACTACTAGTACTAGGTAGCTACTGCTGGTGATTCTACAAATTTTAGGACTACCAGCCATTCTGTCACACAAATCAGATCCATGGTATTGCATATTTCACCCAGTTGACACCATGGAATTTAAACRTCCACCCTTAGTTTTCCTTGTTGGAATACATTTATTGAAAAATCTTTCACAACTCTGTTTCCCCAGAACATGTTTTCAGAATGAGCACAGTATGTTTACTTCAAAGTAACTCAACTCTCCTATGCTAMAAGCACAAAAAATGTCACCCCTCCCATGGAACTCATTCCTTTCTTTATTCCATTTATTACATTTATGGTGTTCTGAACTCATTCACCATATACTCTGCTGCTACAATCATGCCACCCCCTAAGCTGAAGGTATTCTGTCATCACTGTCATGGGTGGTCAATAGATAGGGGATACCAGCATCCTGTATTTTACAGGAGTGCAAAACGGAGAAAAAACAGGCATCATCAACTCCACAAAACTTCTTACTCCTCTTAGCTACAATAAAGATTGCCTCAAATATTTTATCTATGTTGGCAACTGGACCAATGACTTCAGTTCCTCCCTGTACTACAAAACTTCGAAGGACAACAAGGTTGGTGCAAGCAAGCAGTTTGGATGGTTTTGTACTGCAGTTTATCAATGACTTTATAGCAATACAGCATATGCAATTTTGACATTAATGGTTCTTGCAACGGTGCAATGTACCTCCTCTTTTGAATAAGAAACAATGACTATACAAGAAAGCTCGTCTCCTTAGCAATGAAAATAAGAGCCTTAAGAAGAAATAGGCAGTGCTGTGCAAGATGTAGCGACATATCAAAATGACTGGTGTTAGTACTAGAACAAGAACCCTTCAAGAGCTTCTTGCAGTAAAATAAAAATGACATGATTTAAAGGCTCTGTTTGAAGGCTTATTCCAATCCTCGTACTAATAGTACGAGTCTAATAGGAATAGTACATGGTACAACAAAAAATTCTTATTTAGTAGTACTTCGAAGTACTGAGTAAGTTGAAGAGGACTCTCATTTTGGGACGGAGGAAGTACCAGGGGTCATAATTTAGAGGGGTGTGCAACGCGCACGTTTTTCAGCATCAGGACGAAAAAAAATCTATTCCATCCGTGGTACCAATAAGAAAATTTTAACCCCAAGGATTTTTTTCGATTTCATTTTTACTGCATATCACTGCAAAAAGTGTACCTGAAAGACCCCATGCACAGGAACACTTCTAATCACTCTCTAATTTTCAAACTTCACATACACATCTCTCATATAGTTGAGAGTCAAGTAGTAAGTATATTTTCACTGTTATTGCTGTCTGCAGTTTAAACATTAAGGTGCTGACACAGGGCTGGTGATAGTAACAGGCTAGTACAGACTAGTACTGTATTTACAGTAGAAATAATCTGTCCTTTGTCCAGTCAGTCCCACCAGTCTAGTCCTTAGCAAAAATTCGAACTGTCTGTCCTTCATCCGTTTCTCCCACTTATTCCCCAGTAGTAATTTCTACTAATAATCTAGTCAATATTCAACAGTGGAAAGGTACACTATCATTCCATTTGACACTGAAAATATTGGCATATTCAGAATCAGCATTAAAATCTGGGCTAGACAGTGTTCTCAAAAATTCTAATGGTAGTATTTTTGATAATGTTGTTACTGCTTAAAGGTTGGATAGATTTACTAGTATTATGCAGTAAAAATGAAATTGAAAAAAATCCCTGGGGTTAAAATTTTCTTATTGGTACCACAGATGGAATATGAGTTTTCGATGCGTTGCGCACCCCTCTAAATTATGACCCCTGGGAAGTACTACATCGTACCGTTTTGAGCTCTGCTGCCAACACGAAGGAGGAAAATGGAAAATGAGATCGTGGTGGGTAACTACGATTACGTACATCTGCCTAGTTTCTCATGATGGTACCAGGTACGTAGTTGACGACTTATCAGTTACGTACTCGTACCACCCATCAGCCTTAAAATAATTGTAGGTTACGTACGGCAACTTATGGTAGGGGGTGGATTGGTACCATTCATGTTTTCACATGAATGCTGGTCGGAGTTGGTCGCAGATTTCAAAACAAGTATTATCGCGGTTCAGGTACGAGAAACATACGTAGCACGTGGTAGGCAATCTGTGAATCAATGTTCATTGAGTTTCTTGCTCGCCAAACTCGCTAAATGATGAAGTACAGAACAGTAGTTTTTTTGATATTCCAAGATTGGCGTGACATGTGACAGCGAACCTTTTTTTGTCTTCGGAATACTGTATCTAAACTGGAAATTTACGACCTGCTCTGTCCGACTATCCAATACATTACCGGCTCACTCTATTTCCCCCGTCGATCCATAGGAGAGTTGGCAATATAGGAATACACCTAATGAACAACCTGTTCGGCGACCATGTCGAACCACGACGATTATGTAACGTTGAACATGTCAAAAGACAAGTATGACAATGGAAGATTTTTTTGTGCGGAAACACAGGATCAACTCGGCGCTGCCTACCGTGCCTTTGTTGACAAGGAAGAATTAATGGTACCCGACTTCAACTTATTGCAACCGATTTCAGACAAGGAAGCCAGTGATCTCATGGAAGCATTGAGAGGAGACTACAAAGAAGGCTATCACATAGCAGATGGAGATATGTTTTTGCTTCCCAAATCCCGGGTCTTCGAAGAACGACTGGAGCATTCSACATTCGACAACATAAATCTGGAATCAAATAGACTGAAATTTCGATTTCTCACCCCTTTTATAATAAAAGCTGAGCTCAAACCAGGGCTTGCGTTTGCGGAAGTTTTGCTTACGATTGTGTACATTTTGACTCGTAAGTTTGTTAAGTTCCAAACATTGAAAATGCCCGAGACCTACAATATGTTTCTGATCTCTCGTTTTTTAACACTTTTCCTCCTTATTCTCTCTATCTTATGTTTTAGTGTCTTCCGTTTTAATKCATGGGTTCACCATCATGGCCATATTTGTTGGCGGGGTCAGTCTCTTTTTATTGTTGACAATTGTACATTTTTGGTATGGAATATCAAGATACCCATCAATATGGAATAGTATTACCCCACACGGTCTTAAGGGCTCTCCGATCGATCGTAACTTCTCCGAGATTCGACAAATCTGCAGTCACCATTGCAATGGTCATAATCATAYATATTCTCAATTGCCTCAATTTCTCATCACGCTCCCGTTCACGGCAATCTATCACGCAAACGCGTTTTTGGTGACGCTCGTCCATTTCGTGTTTAAAATTTCAAGAAATGGAGGAATAGGAAGTAAATTGCCACCTCCGGTGATGACAAGTGTGTTCATATCGAATATTCTGATCACTTACTTTTGGTTTATGGGAACTACCAGTGGAATCATTTTCTCCGCTTGCACGGTTTTCTTTAATCAAAAAGCATACAACTCTCTTCTCTTCAACAGAGATCTTAAAGACTTTTGCATTTCTTTGGTATTCGGAAATCTAATTATGATCGAAGAAAAGATAGCGATAGACGAGAAAGCTATCGCTCTCGCTTCGAACGGACATGAGCATGATATCGAGAACGGCATCCAAGTCAAGAAAGCAGAACAAGGTGAATTCAAATCGATGTTTGAAAAGCCAAAGTCAATCTTCGAGAAACCCGTGGCAGATGCCAGCGGATCCTCGTCTTTGCCATTAGGCGATAGCTCAATCGATAGAAGCCCAGATGAACATACGCCGCCGTCGAATTCATCCACGGAGCCTCTGCAATCTACTCTGATGTCGACAATTCAAAACATCGCAAGTTATGTAAGTGGCGAAGAAACGGCCAATAATGGCAAGGAATCGAAGCCAGAAATTTTCCACGACGATTCGTTTTCACAGCAGACCGAGGATATGACATTGCAGTATCTTGTTACGGTCATGCCGACAACACCGACTACAACTGCTACAATGATTAATGTTGACACGTCAGAGGATATTCAGGCTGGACAGGAACGATCCGAAGTGAATACCGAAGAACCACACTCTACGAAGTCAAGGGAAAAGAAATTTTTCGGTCTTTCGCGACGAATATTTCCTAGTCCTCGGAGAAGAAAATCTTCGAAACGGGAGTTCCCGTTTGATGAACGCGCTGAGGATGAGCTATCGATCGAATTCAAAAATCCCTCGGACGTTCATATAGACTTAGACGACCACATTGGTACAATAGAGTGGCGAAACGCGATTTCCGAATCCATCCAGCGATTTAGAATGAAATCGTACACTCTTAGGAAGCACACCTGGGTGATGAATCAGATACACGGAAAGTCGTTTTTTATCAAAGAGGACGGGAAAAGGAGAAGGAAATTGAAACGCAAAGAAATCAAAGCATATTGCAAAGCATTTCACGACAAACAAATGCACTTGAATTTGCAAATATCTGGAATTCTCGAGGATTTAAAGGACTTGAAAAAGAATCACAACASCAAAAGCAGTTCCGATCACACGAGAAGATCGCTCGGAAACAGTAAGAAGAGCAAATGCAGCTCAGACCACACGAAAAATTCGTTCATTAACATTCCCTCGGAAATGAACAACGGAACCGAAGACTTCATGAATCCTTTGACGGAAAGCGGAGGCAATGAAAGGAAGTCCACGGACCAACACATCATGGACGACAGAAATGACCAGGCAGCAAACGCTGTTGTCGCATCTTCGACAAGGGACGACTCCATTGTACAATCTTCAAAGGATTCAACCATTTCTACTTTGACAGAAAGCAYCGACGATCCGCTTGAGCACGAGCAGGAAAACAACAACGAGGATGGTATCAACGCGAGAAGCACTCCTTGGATCACGGGTYCGACTTTGTACCCCAAAGACAAAGACACCGTTGCGGATTCGGAATCATCTTGCTTCAGCGAAAAGATCAGCGTCCTTCTAGAGTGCTCCCCCTGGAGCGAGAACATGAACCTTCTGAGAGACAGCAACTCCATGAAAGACGACCGAGACGAAACAGAAAACGACAAGGCCGACGATGCGTCTAACGCGCCACAACGACAAAACAATGGCTTGAAAGGCATCATGAAAGACACGGGTCACAAGATGGACGGYGAAAATTCCGTTGGTTTGTTGGGAGGGAAGGAGGCATACTGGCGTGCGTTCGTAGAAGAGGGGAACGCCTCCAAGCCGAAATCCAGCGACAACACCGAAGAAACCAATCTTTCCCAAACCAGCCGGGACACGGACGACGACGGCAGTGTTATACCCGGCGGCGATTCCAAGCCCGAAACGGGGCGGAAGCGATATCCCTGGAGAAGCGATCTGCAGAGGAAGAAGATCGAAAAGGCACGCGAAAAACGATCCCACGACAAGGATCTATCGATCAAGAAACAGAAACGAATCGCCTCGATTTTCAAGGCGAAGATGAAGAAAGGCGGCAGGRGCGCCGGAGAAGGAGGGCAGCGCGTGCCCAGATCCCCCCGCATAACAAGAAAGAGGAGGAAACACGGCGTGTACCAGCCCTGCGACGAGATGCGGCACGACGAGAAAGAAGAAWCCAAACGGTGGGAAGACGGAGGCGACGAGAACAGGGACGACGAAGACGACGACGACGACGACGACGGAGACAATTCGTTCTATTTCAAGATCCGCGAGGACCAAGAGGACTTTGGTCCCGAGGCGAACTCGATCGTGGAGCAAATGCAAATGAATTCGATCGCCCCCGTTCCTGTGGAGAACCCGGCCGAGCCATGARAAGAGAACGACCTCTTGTCCGACTTTCGACAGATAACCGCAAACAACAACCTGTTTCATTATTAATAAATGTTTAAATGTTGTGCCTGTAACTTTTTTGAGTGATTTGTGGAAACAGTACTTCCATTTCTTTTTGGTGTATCGATGTAGAGTACYGTACTGTAGTTCGTACGCAATGGAATGCAGCTGCGTGCGCCTAGTTTCGTAGTTCGAACTGTGTCGCRAGCATCGATGATTCCCTCCACCGGCGGGGWTGGGGCTTGCTTCGCCCGGGTGTGTTTTTTTGAGTGGTTGCCATTGTCCGTCCGCGGGCGTTTGTGGATTGTTGTTTTTGTTTTGTTTTGTTKTGCCCCGCGTTCGCTTGCTCCCTCTCTCTATTGMGTCTTCGTGCCCGCGAGTTCTCGCACGAGCGATGGAATCAGGAGCACCGCAAAGAGGGGGTTGCGCCGCAGGTAGTCCACGGGGCGGAAGTGAAAGAGCGAGGCGCCGATCGACAACCGGTGCTGCCGTTGTGCCCGCGGCTCCGGTGCGCCTCCGCCGGTATCGTCGTGGAAGCCGCTGCTGCCGCCGCCGTCGTCGTCCCGGTACACGTAGTCCACCTTGTGGTAGGTCCAGGTCGGMAGCCAGAGGGCGTCCCCCTCCCGGGTGGTAACCTCGTAGCGCGGCAGGGTGTCGAGTTGCTTGTGGGTTGGCTCCGCAAGGTCGTCGTGGTCGTCGTCGTTGTTGTTGCTGGCGTTTCCACCGGTGTCGATGTCGATCCAGGACGGGAAAAAGGAGCGTCCGTCGTTGCTAATGGCCGGCCTGAGGTTCCAGGTCTGGGAGGGATCCAGCAGGGTCCAGGTCCTGGCCCCCCACAGCTGGACGGCCACGTTGGCGATTGGTTCGCAGTGGAGGCCCGTGTGGGTGGTGGTGGCTTGCTTCTTTGGCCGCTGCGGGGATTYCTCCTGCCCGCCGGGGTGGTTGCCACGATCGGTGGCCGGACAGGAACCGGCRCTTCCGCTTGCTTCGGTGACCGGCGGCAGTGGCTTYGTGTGGGCCACAAAGACCGGAACGGTCGTCGTCCCCGGCAGCAGGTCCGAGAGGAAGCGAGAGAGCCTGTTCTTGCCACTGCGCTTGTCCCTGCCGCCGGCCGCATCCTTSTTCGCGCCGGAGGGCATCAGCAGCTGGTCGGTGGAAAAGTGGTTCCCAAAGAGYCCCTCCAGAAAGCCCGCCCGGGGCGCCACCTCGCGTTCCAGGAGGGAGGGATCCTTCTGGACCAGCTTTTGCGAGCCGATCTTGTGCGGGGATCCCTCGAAGACCATGGCCCGCACGATTTCCGATACGGTGGCCGTCCCGTCCGGGGTCAGGGCGCCGGGGTTCCTGGCGTCTTTGAAGTACGGAATGGTCCAGTCCTCCGAGCTCATCGACAAAAGGCCCTCCGGGGTCAGCAGCCTGCGCGGTTTTTGTCGGTCTTCCGGGCCGCCGCCGTCTTGGTTGTTGTCGTTGTTGTTGTTGTTGTTGTAGCTGTCGTTGTTGCTGTTGCCAGCGTCGCTGTTGCTTCCGCCGTCTCCCATGAGCCCCCGGAGCAAGAGAGGGCGCTCCCTCCAGTCGGCCCCGTAGGTGCCCTCGAGAAATTCCAGGGCCGATCGCGCGGCGTCGGCATCGTCTCCTCCGAGGGCGTAGAAATCCCGCACGGAGAGCGTCGGAACGTCCAGCGGCGGGATTCTCCCACTTGCCCGGCCCTTGCCGCCGCAACCGTGGCGGGGTTGGCTTTCGCTTTCGCTTTCGGCTTTGGTTCTGGCAAAGGAATCCCAGGCGGTCTCGGTCAGGGCCCGCGCCACCGGCCGGAAAATCCCCAGCGTCGCAAAGACCTGGCCGATCGACCAGGCGTACACGCCCAGGGGAAAGGGAAGGGGGAGCGACCGATGGCCCGTGCCGCTGCCGGAATGCCGGCCCGTGCCCACCGCAACCAGCGTGTACACCCACAGCGTGTAGTGCACCAATCCGGTGAAGAGGCAGAGGGACCGGAACGTTCCGAAGCCGGACCGGGGGGGGCTCCCGCGCGTYCGGGGGGCTTTCATCTTGGTTTTTGGTTTTTGTTGTCTCCGCAGCGACCACCACGAAACGGAATACAGTGCAGTGCAGTGCAGTGCAGAGCTACGCTTGGACAGCAAACCTTYCGGTAGATTCGGAAACAACAATCGAGTGTAGTATGATGCGGACTACATACTCGYACTCGTACTCGTGCCTCCTCTGTTAGCTCTCCGAGAGAACGCATCATAGCGTCATTGCTCCTTGGCGACGACTTCGTTCGTCGTACTCTACGTACATACGATACGTACCTAAGATGTGCGGTACGAGACGACTGCCAGACCGCCAGAMTGGTATCGTACGTACGCACCAAAAAACAATCTGGAACCCTTCTCGCTCACTCAGAGCATCAACATACCGTAACATTACAGGCATGCCTGAACGAGAGGAGTTTGGTAGTACCGTACGGTAGCATGAAGTATTCGTTTCTATGGAAGTCCTTCTTGCTTCTTGCCCCCACAAAGTAAAGGAGACTACTAAGTACCATACTACTAATATCCAAACGAAAATATCATAATATGACATCATGACATGTCATACCATGTCGTGTCGTTTTAATGTTTTCAGGGTCATCCACCATAAATAAGATAGCTGTGGAGTGGATGACTCAAAGATAAAAATGAAAAAGAATATCCCACGTAGAACAAAATAACATTAGGTCTACATCTGAACACAACTTTTTGATGMATTTYGATTGGTTCGATGGGTACGTGACTGTTCGTTRTGGAACACTACAATGGAACATACTACTCAAACCAYTTCGCATTAATGTCAMCGCAACCAAAAGCTATTAAATAGCTTTGTTTGTAAMCGAATTGTGATCGAGTTGGTARAAATATCGAAGAAACCCGAATGACCATTTTTGAGCGAAAAGATGGGTTGTTTATAAAAGTTTAAGCAAGGGTTATTTATAAGACCATGTGCTCAGTAGAACAMTGAAGAGGATAGAACCTCCAAGAGAACTCATGAAGATTTTCGGCAAACTCGTTTTTTGCATCCGCTGGCTCACMTCCGCATTACCTCGACGAAGGCCTAACGCGTTTCTTTTACGCAGACAACCGATGGATCMCAATCAAAATCCAGAGTACAGTACATGCCACCAAATGMATGCGCTATCTCGTGCCTCGATCGAGACCAGAATTTATTTTCATCGTAGTAGAAACAGTGTGTCACCGGTTGAATCTAAAGCATGAGATACAATCTGTCCATACGACAAAGCAAACTCGATTGAGATCCAGTGAAATAAAAAAGGCACAATCTTCATTCGATAGCTCGTATGTACTCAATCATCCTTCATCGGATACTARATCAAAGTACTGTGCCCAAGGAAAACAACGACCCGCGTTTACCTAACTAGCAGGACGAGTACGACGATTCTGTCCTTCGGCCAGACCGCACCGTTCTGCGTCTGTGTCGCCATCCTCCAATTTCAAACTCCATCCGAAACTAGAACCCGTAATACAGGCAGGTTCGAGTACARTCCTTTYTTGGGATACAGGAATTCAACTCAGTGAGCCCATTTATCATGCCGAGTTTCAAGAGATTTACCGCAATCCTTGCCACGTTTGCCGTGGCAAACTGGATTCGAGTTGCTGCTGCCGTTCACCAAACAGTGGATAKCAATGAATTCGTTCTATACGAAAGCAACGAATTCGTTCTATACGAAGAAGAAGTGATGTACGAGTCAGGAGAATCTGAATCCACGTGGTGTGTCGATATTGACGACGAACTGGTCTGCAACATCGAAGGAATTTCCCAAGAAAGYATCAAGTCCTTKCACCCTGTGTCAGGACAAACCATCATGAAGACCCAAGRTGCTTATCTCAAGCARTTGTCGAATCCTTCTGAATTACAGYTGGTGCWTGGCAACGAAACATCCATAAGCTTTGAAAATATATCAGAAGGCGACGCCCGCTATCACGGGCAATCRAATACGGGACCAGGTGAACCCTTTGGCAACAAAACTGCTTTGGTGATTCGTGTTACTGATAGTACTGGAAAAGAACCTACCGTCAAATCAGATAAAGTAAAGAACGYTGCATTTCACGATCCAATTTGTTTGAGGTCACTGTTCGAAGACTGTTCAAAGAATCAAWTGACCATCCAACCTTACGAAAACGGTAATGGTGGTGTGATCGAGCTTACTCTTCACACACACATAAATGGTTCTGAGCTTCATCTTATCGCATTCCATGTTCGGAGACTAATGATAATACACTATCCAACCGAATAYGACAATGTCGATCTCTTTCTGGTKTGCATCCCTCACGGAGCCGTCGGCGAAAGAGGAGAATTTTGGAAKTCWTACGTACATCCACATTATCCCCAGTGGAGTGTTTACAACGACAATTCTTGCACAAGTGCGTATACCATGATGCATGAAGTGGGGCACGCCTTTGGRTTAAAGCACAGTTCCCTGTATGGTGCAACTGGTGATTTGCTTGAATTCGGCGACAGTATTGGCCAGATGGGGATAAGAAGATCGCGGAAGTGTTTCAATGCCCCCAAGAACTATCAACTGGGATGGTACACTAACCAGCAAGCTGATSTTGATCCCCTTGATTTCGTTGGCAGCAGCAGGATTTATATCTTCAATGGAATTGAACAGTACCATAAAGTTGGAAGTGCCAACAAACTCATAGTATTGAAATTGTTGAATCAAAATGAAAATGACTATTWTATCGGATACAACGAGGCAGTTGGTGCCCATGCTGGTACTGACGGAGCAATCAATAAGGTGACCGTCCACCAGGCTGGTCAAGAATGGGGAGGCAATAGCATTTTGGTCGCTGATCTCGTTGAAGGCGATGTRCATGTCATCAACAACTTCAGGAGTTCTGAGTACAACGTCTATATCAAGGTTGTATCGATTGTTGGAGCGGATGCAACAGTCGAAGTTATCACAACCACACCACCACCCTCCCCACGCCCCACGCCTTCGCCGACACCAGTTCCGACGCCAATTCCTACATCTCTTTCACCATCTCCCTTACCAACTCCTAAACCAACTCCTAAACCAACAACTCCCGAACCTTCCTCTGCGGTGACATCTTCTCCGACCATTTTTTGCCAAGACAACGAAAATATATTTCAAATAAGAAGGAAGAAAAAATCTTGCAAGAAATGGCTGAGCAAGTTTGCCTCTCCCCTCTCAATCAGGAATAAAAGGAAGATTCGCACCCGATGTCGTAAGAGGTACATGGGAAAACCGGTTTACGATTATTGTCAAGCAACATGCGCCCTAGTCAAATTGGGTCCCTGCGCTTTTTCTGCTGCATCTGCATAATTATTTGAGTGAGAAGGTTAGCATCCCAAGCCAACAGGCATGAATTGAATGATTGTAGAATGAGATTGAACGTCGGTTGATTTCTAAATAGTAGGCTTTCAATTACTAATGTCAGAGTCGATATTCGGAGTGTTAATATACAATTTCRAGCGCTCTATAGGCCTACGTATATCATGCTATCCCCACTCTTCAATGAGGTAGTGCGCTACAATCACAAACCTATTATTTTCGTCTTRAGGCCATCCTCAGCTGCTAAAAATCGGAATGTTTAGGAATGTCAAATTCAACCAGTGCTCATTCACTCAACGGTATCACCAATACATGCAGTATTYAAAGTCGTTATGGGTTATCTGTCGCAACGGTGGGTCTATGATTTGGATCTGAACTGTCCTCCATTGAGTAAWAGAGCATSATCAATATATGTATGGATCAGTAAAAAACAACRCTTTTTWAGCTATTGTTGACACTTATTGTAAGGGTCCCATGCAATATTCWCAGGAATWTTTWCCGTATGGTACTGATACACACCAAAGATAMATCAAAAACAGGTGTARCAACAATCAGGATGATAATYAAGCAGCGGTGCCTCCTGCTTCTTTTTATTTGCCTACCGTTCKTACCGAAAGAGCATCTTTTCTATCGCAACCGCAAAGCTAATAATGGATCAGTAATAGAATCTAAACCRCATCGMCATAGTCTTTTGGTCGTCTTTTTTGTTTATTTTTCAATTTACGAGGATACGCGTRCTTATTTTTGAAGGTCCTTGAGAATCATCGCAAATTTCACAACGTAACACGGATCCAYCGAGGTCGGCGAMAGGCCGAGCAGCCGCTTTCCGTGTCGCATAATGCTTACTTTGTGGAGCGGATGATTGGGTGTGGCTACCAATTCCACTTTGTTGATCTGAAAGGCCTTCACGCTYTCAAAAAAGGGCATCTCGGAGAGCAAAATCAGTGTATTTTGTGTGACGCACACGGTACCAAACTTGGTGGCAAATTCTAGAAGCGGAATCTCAAAGGCTKTCTTCAAGCCACCGCCGCCGCTGTTGCCCGCTCCCCAGTTGCTCCCGAGGCGGGCTTCGTCCTTGTTGCTCGCCTGTGCGGCAATCTCCCGCCAACGCCTTACGGCGTCCTCCAGCTTTGGCAATTCTCCCCACACCCGTGGCGCATTCGACAACCTGTTTTGAACCAGATCCTTTAGATACAGCTTTTGYTGGGTGACCCGGATCATCGCCTGGCGATTTCGCTTCTCTAGAAAGTTCCGTTGATCCGAGGTGTTGGCTTCTTCGATCGTGGTAAACACGTGTTCCACCGATCGCTTGCAGATCTGCAGGCTATGGGTTACGGGATCGTAYTCTTGTTCCATACAGACACTGGTTATCGTGTGGGTCACGTCCTGGAGTGCGAGCTTGATTTTGTCAAACTCCCACGGGAATTCCCCCATGTGTCGTTGCGGCAACGAAACGGGGGTTTGACCAAGATCCAAGGAATCCGAGGTGTGGTCCCGTCGATCGAAGAGGTTTTTGTCGAGTGGGATGCCGTAGGTTTTTATCAATATGCGCGAAAGCTGCTGTTCAAACTCGGAATAATCGCCAAGGTTGTCGTGGAGATTGTTTTCGGACTTGTCCAGCTCGTCTCGCAAGCCTTCGAGCATTCGTTGCTGACTGACTTGGAACAACTGGATGCAGTAATCTTTGTCTAGTGATGGCTGACAGGGACGCATTCCAAAGCGTGACGTTTCATCGACCAAGGTATTAAAAGTGCACTTGGCCAATTCTAGTTCACTCCAGATTCGTTCCAAAAGCGGCCAGGTCTCTTGCAGCACGTCGTAATCGGCATCTAGTAGCAGTGTGTGGCAGTATCGAGAAYGGARCAATGTGAGCAGCGCAATCGTATTGTGCAAGAAAAAAGACCAAATGATATCACCAYACCAAAAAAACGTTAAAATACAACAAACCAGCAACTAGAGGAGAGCTTACCCGACAGCGAGGGAAAGACGGCCACTTTCTGAAAATTTGCGTCCTTCACCGACGGCGATGGCGTGAGATTTTCCATAAAATAGCGCGAGCTTTCTCGGGTAGAATTTTTGGGGCTAGGAATGTCGTAGAGAACAGACGATTCGATCCCGTTGGTGGCGTTGGTCATCCGGTCGCTCATTCGCCTGCGCCGTTTTCTCGCTTCGGCCACAAGTGTTTCCTGTTCATTTTCCAAAATCCGAACCAGCTCCTCCTTTCGATTCAGATTCTGCAGCATTGCGCACGCCTCTCCCAGTTTATTGTTGAGGGGGGTTTGCACCTCTTTTAGCGCCGTCATTTTGTTCTTGACGCCACCAATCTTTTTCAGTTCCTCTTCAAACAGGTGGACCTGCTCGACGTGAAAGAATCTTAGGAGCAGGCAACGTTCCAGTCGCGTCGGGTCTCTGTTGGTAACGAGCTGCGCACTCAAGAGAAGGGGCGTGTTGCCATCCGCTCCRATGGCTTGGAAGCAATTGTCGGAATTTTTCAATATTGTGTGGTGTTTCGGATGGAGTACGGCAAACGCTTCGTTGAGAGCTCCGTACACCTTTATGTGGTCGCAGTCCGGTCGCAATCGAATCGTAACGGTCCTCACCGCCGGGGGTTCTCTTCTCATCGGGGAGAGGGTTGCTGTGCCAATAAACTGGTCCTCTAGGTCGTGCTGTCGGAGCGGCTGGCAGTATTCCTTGACAACGTTTGTCATCAAGCGATTCTGGTGGGAGAGAGACACAAAATTCGGCGTCCAGTCACAGAACCAATATCGGTTGCCAGACTGAGCCACGACTTCGGAAGCGAGTTGCAGATACTGGGCATGCTGCCCCAAGGAATAGTGYACGCCAGCATCGTTCTCCACTTTTTCCTGCCGTTTGGTTCCACCGGAATGCGAGGAGGATTTAGAAACCATTACATTCRTTGTGCCCGGACACATCGTCTACAACAGTCGCTGTGTTTGTTCTGTTTCGCCGTGCTTCGCAGTATGTTGTTTTGCTTTCTCTGTGACGTGGACGTTGTTTGGGGATGATCCTTTTGAAATGGAGGGAACGCAACTGGAGCCCTTTCTGTTTCTTGTTGTATGACGAGAACRGAAATGGGGTACGAGGATTGGACCTTTTGGACCATTATCCTACGGTACCGTAGGTATTGGAATTGCCAAAACCTTCAGGTTACACTGCCACTTCGTACGAACTCGCACTGCTTCGCACGCATTTTTTAATAGAAGTACCGTACAGTTCGTACAGAACCGTACGTACTCGTTGCAACTTTGTTATCATCTCCAACCGAGGATGCAGTGCTCTCACTTATTCTTTCAAGCAAAAATCCGACAATTTTGTCGCATCGRCAGGATCCATGTTTTTCTTCTTCGTTGGCGCGCTTATTCTGGAAAAGTGACTGTGATATTCGATTCGTTCGACCAATATTTGAATCGTGGCTTCTTACATGGTGTGCGATGCATCTCCCAGACCCTGCACTACGGTACGGTAGGCCTTCAAAATCAGCACACCCGCAATCCACGGGAAACTATTCATCTATTCATATGAATGATATGTATGAAAGATAATAAACTACAAACATCGTTAACGGCTGTGATGGGTAAACCTGACTCACCGTGCGAACTCAAAACGACATTCTGTACATTTTACAGTGACAGAAATGTACGTATCGTAGAACAACAATGAACGAAGTACCGAGTACTCGTACTTGTAGTAGTACTTGTTTTTGTAGCACTGTACTGTACCGTACCGTTCCGTGCAGGATTCGAGTCTCAGAAGTCTGTTTCTTCGTTCGAAAGAAGATACACGCTTTGATAAAAGCAYCCTAATTGCTAATTGCCATGAACGAGTACGAGTACCGGTCATCATCTACAAACGAAACACATCTTCCGTCTGCGACAACATTCTCAACTCTGTCCTCAACTATTGCACAATACCATATCGTTTATAAGTTGCTATGAAATCTATCCTTTCTTTTTGTGGCCTTGCTGCACTTACAATCGTTCCCGCGGCCGATTCGTTTGTGGTCGAGAACCTCGCGGTTTGCAGCAGCAGCAGCAGCAGCAGCAGCAGCTATTCGGGGTCCGGTGCGCATTCTTTCCAGACAAAAAGTGCGCTGAAGGTCTGGACGACAACGGCCACCGAGGAAGAGGAAGCAGACCGCCAGCCCGATCCATCCTTCGATCGGCGCTCCCTTCTCTTGGCGGGAGCGTCCTCCGTCGCGACCGGATTCGTTCTGAACGAAAACAAGGATGCACTTCGCCGGGCACCCGCTATCMTGACTTCCATCGAAGCCYCCTCGGAGGCCGGCGGCGTGGTCGCTCCTGCTACCACGAGCGTGTCATCCGTCGAGGAAGCCCTGACGATCATCGAATCCCTCGGCGACAAGCGATTCCTTCACGCCGTGGTGGCGTCGGACTACAAATTTCTGTACGAGCAAACCCCKCGGCAAAATCGATCCGGGGCGCCGAAATCGGTGCTTTCCGACATTGATGCCGAGGCCATATTTTCCAAGAAAAWAAATSTGTCCTCGTCGCCACGATCGATTGTTCTGGCAGCGAGCGGAAACCTGGCTCCCGGCAAGGCGCCGTCGCTGTGGCCACTCGAGACTGCCCGTTGTAGTGTGGCCGGTAGCTGCGACAGCATCCATTACGCCTGGCCGGAGCAGGGCGGGGCGATTCCCAGGAGGAACAATGATGAATTTGCGGCGAGGAGCGCCATGATCGTCGATGGAATAGATTGCGGCAAGATGTCGCTGGAAGATGCGCTGGAGGGGGACATGCAGGTGCTGGTGCAGGCACCGACGTATCTTTTGGTTCCGAGCTACATGGAATCTAATCTGAGGAGGGGCCTTCAGGGAGCATTCTTGATATGAGACTACGTGAACCAACCCAACCTATGTTGTGGAGCCAAAGTGGACGGTGATCGATCGGGTAACAGTTGTAGGATCGACGCACCAATTTTCGGAGGATAGGACTCTTCACAAACAGTGTTTTTGTAGTATTCACCATGTTCGAATACCTGTCGCTGATAAAAGTTTCATATCCCAAGTGAGAATGATGTAGAATCGTAAAGTGATTAGGTTCCCAAGGTATTCATAATCAATTTAGGCAACTKTCATTGGGCAGCATGACATGTTGTCGTATGCTTCTAAAAATAATCCTACTCAKAAATTTCTTACATTCATCGTGATGTACTGAATGAACACTTTTGTAACTAATATTAAACATAAACCATTCGTATTCGTTTTTCTCATTTGTTTTCATACTTAATCCAGTGAATCCATAATGGAATGGCGCTTTCGTATTTTGTTCTAAACTGCGTCTGCTCAATGGTGTTCATAATGTAATCAACTAAGCGCACACAATTCCAAAGAATGAAAATGCTTGAAGCGGCCGATGGAAGCATTCCAAAAACAATGGTCAAACGCTGGGGCACTTGTTTGAGTGAACGARAAACAAATCTCCCACGCTKCGCCAAGCACTAAGCAGTCTTTGCTTTTCTGTTGACMAATCCTTTGAAAAAGGTCGTTGCGGCAATCCCGGTCACCAGCACAACCTGSCCGATCGAAGATGCGGTTCCCCACGTGGGCAGTAAGTACAGTGCAATGCTTGAAAAGGCCGCCGCCGCCAGAAAGTTCAACTGGACAAAGGTCGTTCCGCYCAACCGATCGCGATCCGAGGCGTCCTTCAAGGTGTACATGATCGTTGCTACCAATCCGAGACGGGCCATCTTGGCAAGCTTGACGAACATCGTGAGATACGCGACCGGTGTTTCGCTCGGAGCCAGCAGCATGGTGACCAGTTCCTTTGTTTTGATTAGGGACATAATGCCCATGATGAGTGTACCGACGATATAAACTGCCGATTTTGCCTTGATCATCGTCATGCACTGGAGCGTAGATTGGATCCCATCTTTGAAGTCTTTCACCACAGCAGTCGTTTCTTTGGCCTTRTCCCATCCGAGGCATCCGTATCCATATCCCTTGATGCCGTTGATGAGACTCAGCAATCCGGGAACCTTAAACATGAGACCATTTGTCCACGGAAAGTCACCAGTGGGGGCCACAAGTTGGATGACTCCAAAAGCAATCATGGCAATGTTCAATCTTTTATACGTATCGCTGCCTAGCCGGTCGTGGATGGCGGCTCCCTTAAGAATGTACAGAATCGCCGCTGCTGTCAGCGGACCGCCACCAAAGATGTAATACAGCGAGCTCGACGTAACACCACCCCAGGTACCTAGACTGAAAAGAGCCGATGCCGCATATGCGGACGATGCAAGCTGATAACCCATCGTCAGTCGTTTTTTTCGTCCGGCAACTTTCTTGTCCATGGATGATCGTTCTGGGTCTTCTTCGGCTTCTCCATCCTCTTCGGCTTCTCCATCCTCTGTGGCCCTTAGCTCCGAACAATCCCGTGTTGAACTACCATCACAATACGGTCGCAACACGGGACTGCGAATGCCGGTGGTTGAGSTTGCCAAGGGTGCCCTCAAGATTAATCCCGCAGCATTGCCTTTTGATCGTCCCAGTGACAGCTGTTGTCTTTGTTGTTGCACCGTCGTCGAAAATCCATTCGTTCCCTGGAGAAGGAGCAGCGCCAAGAATAGAGACGCGAACGGACTGTTATGATCGAACAGAAACATTGTTTGCAGTWGTCACCGTTCTTATGGGTTTACGCACAGTTCTGTTGGAACAACGCTGTTGACTTTGTTCTCATGGATGTAAGATACACACCTGTAAGGGTACGTATTGCATCTACCAGAACAGACGACTTTCAATTTTCGAACCGAGAAGACGTTGAATGATTGCTGTCGAAAAGATACCTAAGGTATCGTACTCCTAGTACTAGTGCTGGCGTTGATTGACGACATCCGCGACTAATAACTAAGACAAATTCAGTCTCTTGCAAAATTGAATTTCGCTACGGTACGTACTCGTACCGATGCATAGTACGTACCGTTTAACGACAGAAAATAAAACTAAAAATACTACCACTACTTACGTAGTAGTTATGCCACACAATAGAGCACACATACATTTCGCAGGTTATGAGCAACAATAGACAAACCTCAGCTCATCACCATCATCAGTAARATTGATTTTCTATTGACTCAACTAAGGAGAGGCAGACAACCAGAAGCAACACCACACTTTCCAGCTTCAAGCTGGAATTTTGAAGGAGGATTAAGTTAATCCTCCTTCAAAATTTCCTAATCAGCAAAATTCCAGGAAGAGAACCCACTGCAAAATCATGTAGGACCCTGGGGTACAGATTCTCAGAACAACTGTGTCAACTAAACAGATAACCCCATCCTCAACAAAAGACCACAACCACGGCACCGTCAAGGAAGAAGTTGAGAACACCAGGCARTCAAGGGAACAGCCGCAAACATCCTGAAGAGCCTAAACAACCCCAATCTCCTACCAAAAGAAAATACCTGGTGCATCTTAGAATTTTGTAAATGTCAGTAGTGGTAAAATAATTACAAATGTTAATACTGAGAGAGAGTTCTTGGATCTCGAAATATCGAAAAAAGCATGCTCATCTCGAAACATTGAAAAAAGCATGCTCAGTAGAAATTTGACTTTTTCTCCACTCGTTCAATAGAAAGCTTTCTTTGAGCATGACCCGTCACGAGGACATGCAATGGATGGTCTGGAATTGGCAAAAAGCGCGGTACCAATCAATGCTCTCGACAAACGGAAACCCACATAGCTGAAATTGCCTGGTTCTCTATGCATCACACCGACATTGTGCTGAAAACATTCTTTTGAGTAGATTTAGTTCATGGTGTCATCCTCTCGTTGCTGGGTACCCTAACAATACTGTTTTTGTTACCGTATTTCGGAACGAGATCAACTGATCGTATTGGTTATGGAACCTTCATTTGCTATCCTTTCATGAAGAATAATTCCCTGTTTTGGTGACAACAGTCATYTCATGCAACAACAAATCTTTKATTATTGCTTACCACCACCACCACCATGCCGATTGCACGCTTTTGGCAAACGCCGGGTGCTCTTTACACAAGTCCAGCCAGACCGGGATGTTGGAACAACCATGGCTCTCCCAGCTACYRGCACCAAACTCGTCGTCAATGCGCCATAAAAAAGGGAAACCGGCACAATCCGCAACCGACGGTTTGTCGGTTCCAGCAAGAAAACATGGTTGCCCTTCGTTTGCTGTGTCGATGAGAGTGTCCAGTTCCCGGAGTTTGGTCCACATTCGCTCCTTATCACCCCCAAGGACCGCGCTCTTTCCAATAGGGAGGAACTCGGTGAGGGAAGATCGGAAGGCATCAATCTTGGTACGAACCGCATCATCGACCGGTGCAATCGTCAAGGGAGACGCTGACGACTCGCCAACGGAATCAACTACTAATTTCATTTCGTCCAAAATCAAATCGGAATCTSCAAGGACGATCGCATTTTCTGTGCCTTTTCTCCCGTCGTCGTTGACAACAAGCACAGGYACCGTCCCTTTTGGATTAAGCTTCCTAAACCATTGGGGTTTCCCTCCACCGCCATAAAGAGAAATTTCTTCGAACTTGAAGGGGACCTTCGCTGCTTCCAGTGCGATCCATGCCTTTAGAAATGAATGGATGTATGTTCGATTGGTTKTGTTGTYAGATCCAAGTCGRATCCAATGATAATATGGAAATGAGCAAGGGTGGTTATAATATCTCTTCAACTCACCTTTTGGGCAAAGGGGCACATTTTGTTCGTGACGAACAAGAGAGATTTTCCCGATCCTGATGCCGTCATGGTCATCGAAAATGAACTCGCATGAGTGAGTAACAAAGCTAGTGCTAGAGCTACAAGGATTGCCTGTTTAAAGATTATCTGCACTATRCGCAACCCGAACATCATGGGAATGTGTGAACGAAGGCAAAACCAAAACACKATGATTATGGTTAGGACACAAACGAGATGGGGACGAGTCAATTGGTGTCACAAGTCGCTAATAACCAAGTACCGGTAGAGATAGAGATGTTTTCTCTTTATTTTGTTACCGTAGAAGTTCGTTGATTCGTACTTACGTACTGTGAATGTGGTACGTACGGTACGTACGAGTAAATGGATGATCGTGAAAAAAATGGGTACAGTACACGAAAACGTGCTCGTACGAGTGCGAGTACAAGAACTCGTAGTCGAAGAAGTCATCATCTACTGTATTTTTAATACACCTAAAACGTTACTGTACAAGAATCATCGTCTTGAGTCGTAGCGTAGTTACAGGATTTACTGTGTGGATACGCTATGACGTCAGGATGCTGCGGTAAATTAATAGTACTCGTATTTTTGTTGGTTCCCATGCTATGTTTYGTTCCACGCGTGAAAACAACTCAACCCCCTGATTTTTGTGTGAATCATTACAGTAGGAAACAACCATCTACATACCGTACGGTAAATATACCAGTTTGCGCAATCGTCACGTAACTTGTAAGACCCTTTTTGTCATCACCATCAAGGTTCTCAATCGCCGGCTCTATTCTTTTGCACTATCCACAAGAAACAAAAGAAAGCAACAAAAGCAACAATAGCTAGTATGTACTCGTCATCGTCMCTCTTCCTGATCTTGGCTACTGCCATTGCCCTTTGCTCGGTCGATGCCTGGACCGCAACCTCTTCCGCCTCGTCCTTCGGAGGACGCAGCCTGACTTCGAMCACCAAACAAGTTGTYGTTCTTGGAAACGGATCCAATATGGATATGAAGAAGGGAAAGGCCAATGTCCCACCCCAGATGCGTGGACAATACGCCCGTCAGCAGGAAATGGCGGCAATGCAACAACAAATGAGAGCATCCTCCGTTCCTGGAGATGATGGCCTCCCCRTCTTCAACCTCTTTGTMCGAACCACCTCGCAAAAGGTACGTCGAGTTGAGTTGAGCCCAGCTTAGCCGAGCTGATTCGAACGAAACCRAGCAGATRAATTGATKAATCCTTTTGGTATACTCGATGAAAAGAGCAGTAACAAACTTTTTTATCTTCTGGTAGCTGGAGAACACATCSGGTGGGACACTTCTTGGATCCCAGATCTTACACGTTTTTCGTTTTCTTTCCTCTCTTTTTTSCTCATGATTGTACCACACACGATCCTCTATTTTTTTTCGCTCAGATCTGGTACCCATGCGGAAGTTTCAAGGGCGACGACCGCTCGGCGGCCTTGGCCAAATCATGGTCAGAGGGCGGCATGCTTTCGGGAATTTCCAAGAAACAGCTCGACGGAGGAATCGCCGGATCTTTGTACAGCGACCTCGCCAAACTGAAGGACACCGTCATGCGTGCTTACCCCCAGCTCCGAAAAAAGAGTAACGAGATGGAATTTGGTTACAAACTTGCTTTCGATGGACTTCCAGAGGACAAGGCCAAGCAGACTTTCCCTGTCGAACCGAAGGAACCAAAGGGTGCCTTGGATGGACTCAGAAATATCTTTAGCTAATTTTGCTAAACAATTAATGCCAGCAACTATTGATATACGCAAAGAAACGGCAAACGGCTCAAATCGATAACTTTCAAATGGTGTGTCAGAGCAATGTAGGTCGCGAAAACATTCGGCRACGTACGAGTATCGGCACAAACACATACAACCGAAGATTCCTAGACAATACTCCGTGACAATAATACTTCCATTTCGATGACTTGGGGTACTGCGAATGGCAAGCTGAAAGTATATTCAGAAATATTGGCGAAAAGGCTRCATTATCATTTATATTTTAACTACTTTGATTAATAAGTATCACCTAATCTAATTTCGTGCAGCACCAAGCTTGGCATTTTTGATGTGTGTTGAACATGTCGGAGACATGAAGCATACTGCGATCGTTGATTCATGGAGTGGTTACTTTCTAAATAAGAACTGAGAAGGAAGGGTTTTCCTAGAGGGCTTGTGGAAACAGGTTTATTKGCTGGAATCCTGCTCATCATGTTCGCTTGTTTACGAAAACTATCGAAGGGTGTGCTGCCTTGAAGAATTTGTCTCTACATAGGTACATTGCCGTCTACAAAAAGGTGACTGACAGTATGGACCGCGGTGGGACGTTGGTACTCTCGTCACTATTCTCCTTGTCGCTATCCTCATGCGTGTCAGGAGCCTGAGAGGMGTTTTTGTTGTTTCCTGTCTCCTCCTTGATCGGTACCAAAGTCGGCCTATAAATGGAAGACTCGCATCTCTTCCCACCGATTAAATTCGCTGTTTTGCTTTTGTCCGCTTTAGAATTATCTTSATTTTGAGACTTGAACTGCAAAGTTCTCGCGGTAGCAACAGATGCGCTAAGCAGATTCTGACCAAAAGCGATCTTGCTTCTCTGCCTACGACAGGTCCTCTCGCTCAAGAGACTACTTTCGCCAGCGACTACTTCCAACGATTGGGAAACRTTATCCTTGGGCAGCTTGCTGGTATTGAATGGATGCRGAGCMAGAGCAACTGTGATACTGTTATCAATCGCCAAGATTGGTGATGGCAGTGGAGCGATAGGCATGACACTTTTGGACTCTTTTAGGGGCTTCTCTTTTATTGGAGAGAAGATACAGCGTGGAGAGTTATTCTGACGCTCTCTATCGCTCGCATGGAATCGTAATGATGTTTCTGTGCGATTCTTCTTACCACGGGTCGACATGAAAGTAGTCTCATCGCGAATCCTTTTCTTTGGGTTACCAATACTATCTGATATAGCAGCTTCCTCGAGAAAGATTTCAGCTTGGGTCTCCTTGATTTTTGCAGTCTCTTCACAWACTGGATGTTTCTTCTCGGGTAACTTCTTTTCCTGATCAGATGAGTGCAAGAAATCTTCGGCCCAGGTGATGAGGTCAAAGTGCTTTGGGTAATTTTTKCGGMAAGCATTGGTAAAGTCTGGATCCATCTGGTTCTCCGACGACAACACGAGAGTCGGAGCCATCACTTTTGCACTTGAATAATCATCAGTAATGGYGAGTTTTTCCATCATCAAGTCGATATTCTTGTGCCATTTTTGCATCATTTGGTCGGTGCGTGGACACTGACCTCGAAAGATGGTGCAATTTGCAAGTCCGTGTCGTTGCTTCATYCTCGTTGCGATGATTTTTCCGTCGTCTTTGTTAGACTGCAGCACGATGGATGACTTCATGGTCGCCTTGACGATTTTTAATTGTTGTTGATAAGAAACGAGTAMAGGAAAGTCYTCATGGCAAATCATTCGTCTTTGAAGGTCGAATTTTGTCTCTGGAGGTGGAATACCGGATCTGCTATCGAATAAGTAATGTGAGGCTTGAAACAGGCGATTGGAATTTTTGCAGGAGGGTTCAAAAATKCTCGGCGGTGTCTTGATTAATTCCATGGTCATTAATTTATGTGGGTCAAACACTTCTCTTTGGGGAGATGCCTTTTCGACTTTGTTGAGATTTAGTACAGATGAGAATAAGAATTGTCCTTGCGACGAGCGAAGCGAATTTGCTGGATTGTAGGGATCCATTTTGGTTGAGAATCGAGGAATTGAAAAAATGATTGGCCTGTCTCAACGTGCTTGATTCCGAATAATGATTGCCGTCTTCAGATGTCTCTTTCGAATGGATCAAGTATTTWTCCATTGCATGGAGAAATCGTAGCTGTATGTAACTTCGTTTGATACCAACAACTTGTTCGTTTTTCGGATTTTTGAGTTTCCATAGATGTGCTGATTTTAGACGCAACTTTTTACGTCTCGCTCAGTCGTGGACCGTAATAGAATATTTTTGAGCCTGGTACGTACATAACGATTACTCGTACCGTTGTAAATGTACCGATGCGAAGTACGTAATCGTACGCGTTGCGCGATTCGCGCCAAACTTTTTTGATACCCGTACTTCTCAGCAGATCAATTTTTGAGTTGATTTTCTACCGGTAGAAATTCCAAGATTGCATTCCTTGGCAACGGCAGAACTGTAGCAGGTAACGTACCGGCAGTTGCAGATCTTGACCCCCAGTTTCATGCTACGGAATCAATTTGAGATTCTGAGTTCACAACAGCAGCACCATGGTAAACATTGAACTACAAAGTTCAGTCTTTCTATATCTATGAAATCAAAGAATGAGCCGTTTTGCCGTTGCGCATRTGTTTGAATGGGTCCTCAWACAGTAACGATTGCCATCTCCGCAAGGAGGACAATCAATCGAATTGATTTTGATGAGATATGAAATCTACTCAAAAAACTTGTTCTCAAAAATACAACAGTCGAAAAGACGACCGGGACAAACAATTTCAATCTGATCGCCAATTGCACTATTTTCCCCCTCTCAAGGCACTCTCTTTTGCATGATATGTGTGAYATGGATCATCTCATTCAGAAACGGACATTCTCATTTTTTGATTCARACAAGAGTCAACGTCTTTTTTATGCCATTTGCCAACACCACTATAAATCCGATTTGGCCCAATTCATCGGCATTGCMTCATTCACCATGCTTCGCTACCCATTTCAAAATCAAAATAGCACGTATTCTGATCGAATTCCATYCCTTCCTCACTCGGCAATCAAAACCAAAAACTTCAATCACAACCTGCAAGCGAAAACAAACATGCCTGGGCTTCACTTTTACTTTCATGACAATCACGATTATCATTTTTCAAATAATGGTAGCAAAAYGGTACGTCGGTGACTATATGAAGGTGAAGTATTAAGCAACGTAACGCACTCTTCCTCACAGATTGTGTTTATCTTTTGAAACAAAGAGTCTTGGTATGAAGCGTTTCTGCAAGACCTGTGACRATGACGCTGGAAGACACATCACTAAGAGCCACTCATCGGTYTTTCTTCGAAATAGGATCGGTACTCGATTKTCTGACCCTGTACAAGAGTTTGCCTTGCCAAATAATAGTCATAGAAGAGGTCTATTCGATTCGATTTCGTGTGACAGAAAACTGAACGATATTTTGGCAACCGTTAGCAACGACGACAACGACCCTATGTTCTTCCCCTTGACTGATCTTGATAAAGACTCTCGACTAMATGWAGAATCAAGTCAAACATGGATTGCCGGTGGGCGTTCTCCAGAGTTTGTTGACTTGGACTCAAGAAGTTTCCCGYCGGCTTCTTCGCATTTGCGGTTGTTTTCTAAKGATTCGACCCGAATCGACTCAACCACTTCCTCTAGTACACAGTTGAAGCCCARGCCTTCCACCTRTACGAGTGCGAGAATAAATACTGACGAAACGACTWATCCYTCTCTCCGTAAAGGCAATAATATAGTTGYACTCTTTGCTTCTGACACCAAGAAAAACCATCCGAACGTGAAGAACAAAGCGACAASAGCTCGGTTCTCCCATCCTTCAAGTAATGTGAGTCGCAAGCCAGCTACCTCTTCAACTAGACACAAACATTGGACTAGAGAAGAGGATGAAATTCTTCGACATGCAAAAGCGAAAGAGTCTAGGGGGAAGATTTTCTGGCATAAAATCTCGGAACAGTATTTTCRTGGGACTAGATCTGCAGCGCAGTGTAGGGTCCGATGGAACAATGTAAGATCTACATTTGACTCTTGTCTTCTAGTGGTGAAGAAGGTTCCAAACTAACCATTTTTTTACTCTTTTTTCTGTTGAAAGCACGTTCAGCCCGGCATCGTTCGGGGAAAGTGGGATAGTCATGAGGATCAAATTATTCTTCAAATGGTATCGAAGGGATGCTCATGGAAAAGAATAGCAGATAAATTACCTGGTCGAACGAATGAAAACATTCGTTACCGTTTCATCAACAAGCTTGACCCAAAGCTTAAGAAAACAGCATGGACCAAAAACGAAGATGACATTCTTTTCACGATGCAACGTCGGATCGGAAATAAATGGGCAGGAATTGCYAAGTTTCTTCCTGGTCGATCGGATAATGGCGTGAAGAATCGCTACTACAACAAGAGGAATGCGTTCCTTCGCAAGACACGTCTGCCGGAGAAAGAAAGAAATRGAAGCGACGAAACCTATTCTTCTTGGGAACCTGTGTGAGAGATATCATTCAACGACATGGTAAATGTTGTTTCGCGATCTGCATCACTCACTTTGGATGACGCYAAAGACGGTGTCGCTTTTGTGGTTGCAATGTAAACCCGTATTGTCTGATGGTTCTGGTTGATTCAATAATTTGTCTTYGATTCGTTTGAAATTTATGCAACTCAATTTTCCTTGTCGGTGGTACTACATCCTCCAGAATGTAGATGAAACASCACAATCTCCTGTGAGTTAATGCCATCGAGAAAATTTGCATGGTGATTCGAAGGAGATAATCAGACAAGTACATATTATGAAGTGAAACAATAAGTTAGACTCAAACTCGTCGTCAAATTGGATTTGACGATGTCGACCTCTGATTCGCTTCCAATAGGAAGGCACTGTTGGGATACACCAAGCAAGTATCAACTCAGTGCTTTTAGTGG